GCCCTGATTAGCCAATGGGAAGCGTGTCGGAGGTACAGTTAATTACCATGTTTGTCTATTATTAGATAGGATGCGCTCAGTACCATGGAAAATTCTATTATGTATCTAATTCAACCCTCACAACACTACTAGGAGAGAGGTTCTATTATTATTTACACATTCAGAAGAAAAGACTGAGTCATAGGTATATTAGATAACTTACCCATAGTCACAAAATGGTAGAAAGGCAATTTAAACTCAGATAATCTGACTTTGAGACTGACATATTAACTAATGCAATGCAAGACTAAGAATTAAAAATTCCTAAGAATTAAAAAACAAAGTGAATCAACTTCACATAAAATTAAAGGATGATAAATAAGATCAGGATAGCAAATATATTTAAAAATTATGATTAGGATAACAATAACTATTTTTCTTTACTTGGCTCAAAGGGTTATTACTTTGAAGTGTCAAGATAGACAAAAAAGCCACCATTCCTCACTATAGAAAAGTGTAAATCCAGATTAGAAGGGCCACCCTTAGGACTTAACAACTAACTTCTTTGGAGTACCATTTAGCTCCTTGTTTTCATTTGTGAATGTTTTTCCGTTATTTACATATTAATTCTATATATTAATTCTATTATAAAGTCTATACCATAAACAATGAACAGGTTTTTCAGTTATAGTGGTCCTTTTTTTCATCCCCTCAAATTCTCAAATATAAAAATAAGTCTTCAAAGAGTTGGGATAAATCCAAATCATGTTTCATTTGAGTCCTGCCACAAATGATTACTCTGAAAGTTTCCTCAAAGGACATCAACTCAAAAAATTCCACTTGCTTTTTCCCATGTCACACTTACATTTTAAAATTTCTTGTTCAAATAATGCTATACCAATGCATTAATAAGTGAAACACAGTTCACTCCCAAATTTGCTTCAATAAAACAAGGTTACTGAGCACATGGCAATACACTGACAAAGGAACTGACAGTGCTTTATTTTTATGGTGGATACATAGCGCCCTCTGCTGCACAAACTGAAGAAATGTCAACCAAGCTAAGTTGTTAAGTCCCAAGGTTATCTGAAACCAAATGAAAAGCATGGGGCTTCTTGAAAAGCAATAACTGAGACTCATATTTCACTTTTTTTTCAAATTACCATTGTAAAGATTTTAAAATTCCCTTTATACAGTGATGTATCTTCCTCCACACAATCCTAAACTTCTCAGTCTGACCCTTTCTGTCATCTATATTTATTCGATAGAACAATGTATTAGGATCAAGTCCCCAAAAGACCCCAGTGAAATGACATCTTGGTATCTCCTTTCTCTCTACACCTTTCACACCAGAGAACTGAACATAGATGAATCAGTGGAACTCTGATTATAATTTTAAATCAAAGCTGAGTTATAGTGTTTAAACTTGCGCAAACTGACAAATGAGAACAGAAGGCAAAAGGTGTTATTTTTTTAAATGGGAGAAATCTTACTTTTCATTAAAAAATGATCCACTAACACCAAGAGACTGTACAGTTACACAAGACAATCTAAAGCTCTAAATGGTTAATATGTTATAGTCTGTATTGAAAGTATAATGGACCCAAATATCCAATGGAAGCTGCTTCAGGGTATTCAAGGCATTTTTTAACTATAGGCACAGAAATGTACTTCCTGCAACAAATGACATTTAAAATGCACTCTGAATAAATAATAGTTGTCTAAACTACACAAAGTCTTTTTACAACATATATGTAATTAATATAACTTGAAACTGCTTTGAAATATATGAACTGTTAGTAAAAGACACAAATATTTTAAAATAAACCATCATTTTTAAAAGTTGAAGAATGTATTATACTTCCAGTTGCCTAACAGAACCAGACTTTCCTTATATAACCTAATTTCATTCAAGTTAAACCTGAAAATTGAAAACATCTACCCTAGTGAGGAAGACTTAAGATGCCAACTGTATGATATACATCTGGATAAAAAAAATTATAAAGAAGTTAAGAAAAAAATCACTCAAAAAATGCTGTTTTTAAAAAAGACAATGTGCCTTTCACTTAGTACATTTTAAGGAAAGTTTTGTTTTTAAAGGCAAATTTGAAGCACCCTCTCGTGGAAAACTGGTAACAAAAAGTTAAAGCTCTGTTTCTGAAATTCTGTAATTCAATTGCCATAAAACAAGTAACTATAAACTGGGCCCAAAAAAGTAGATTAGGCAGACTCCTCTTTCCAAATGACCCCCTCTCCCAAAACAGAGCAATTCTTAAAGAAAAAAAAGTCTATTATTTATCAATTCCCCTCCCCCCAAATATATCTGCATACAAGATCTGCGAATGTAACATCATAGATGTATGCTACTCTATACATTAAAGATCACATTGTTATAAAATGATTAAGTCAAAGAAACACATGGAATCACCCTGGTAGCTTGTTCCATGTGGTTAACAGATCCAACCAAAAAGAGAACTAAGGAAACAACCCAGAGCACTTCTTCAAAACTACAATTCTCTCCAAACACATGGTAACATTTCATAAGTAGCTTTTGCTAAACTAACAGACTAGGTGACAACTCCCAGGGCAATCCAGCTACAGTCCTTCGGTCTTGGTTATTAAAGCCATTGCCTGGCACAGACAAGGTTCCCACGTGCAAGTTCTACAACAGATGGTTTTTACATTAGTAATTTAAAACTGAGTAGATGAAATACCAGATTATGTGAATTAACAGGGTTATCCATTAATAATTAGACGGCATACTATGTATTATGTAAATTCTTAGCATCACAATTTGGAGAAATACTATCAAAACAGAAAATGTCCTTAACTGAGAGACCATTTTAAAAAATAATTTAAAATCTATTTTCTGAGGAAGGCTAAAAACAGCAGAATTATTTAGCCTAGGGAAGAAAAGGGCTACATAGAAGAACAGATAATTCACTACTGATTTATTGATACTTTAACCAGCTGTTACCAATGCTCTGAGTCATGGTGGCTAGCTGGATGAACATGGTCCCTGCAGGAACCTGCATCTTGAATGGGAAAAGATGAATATAAGAAATCAACACCTTTCATTAGGGTCAGGATTTGTGTTTTATTCACTTTGGTATCCTCAGCACCTACAACAATACCTGCCACATAGCAGGTGCTCAATAAATATTTACTGAATTATATAAAAAAGAAACTTCAGCTAGTGATGACTAGTATGAAGAAAACAAAACAACATAATCAACAGAGAGTAATGGGGAAGGGTGGGGTGGCAGGTATGTTATTTCAGATCGGAGAATTAGAGGAGGATCCTTTTAAGGAAATGCTATGAGAACTTAGACTTAACAACCAAAGTCAGACTTGCAAAGATCTGAAAGAACTTTCCAGGAAGAGGAAACAGGGCGCTGGCTGAGGCAGGAGTGGTTTGACATTGAAACATTCAGACTGGTCGTGTGGGCAAGCCATGGCTGTCACAGTAAAAAGTCAGATTTTACTCAAACAGTTTGGGCAAAAGAAAGCACATAACCTCTTGATCTAGTTTGGAGGTAAGGAGTAGACATGATTTGCTGACAGGTCAAATATGTGAGATGAGGCCAAGGAGTATTAAAAATGTCTCCTAAGTGTGGTGCTTAAACAACTGGGTGGATAAGGCTACTTATTGAGATGGGAAAGCGAGGTGAAGAGCAGGTTTCAGACAGGTGATGGAGGAAGGGGACAACTTTTACAATTAGCCATATAACTGGGAGTTCAGGTAAGCGGTTATATATTTCGGTTTGAAACTAATAAAATAGACTGAGGTAAAGAGCTGTAAGTGCGGAAGTTGTTTCCAGAGATGTTTAAAGCCATGGGACAAAAGAGTTATCAAGAAGTAGGGGGAGGGGGGAGTAATTTTTCCATGGAAAAAACAAAGAGTTAAAGATAGAAGTTAAAGTGAGTTCACTCCAACTAGTGTAGCTCAGTGGTTGAGCACTGACCTATGAACCAGGAGGTCACAGTTCAATTCCAGGTCAGGGCACATACCTGGGTTGTGGGTTTGATCCCCAGTAGGGGGAGGTGCAGGAGGCACTCATCAATATTTCTATCTCTTTATCCCTCTCCCTTCCTCTCTCTCTAAAAATCAATTTATAAAACCAACATAAAGTGAGTTAAGTTTGCTGAGAATTTAGTAAGAGAAAGAACACTTTAACATTCTAACTGGAGTTGTACAGAAAGGGAATGGACTGCCTACACACACCACGACTGTCCACCAAAGGAGGGTTTTAAGAAACAAGGGCTAGATAACCATCTGGAAGATTACTACTAAAGTGATTCCTATAAAGCAGCGGTTCTCAACCTGTGGGTCGTGACCCCTTTGGGGGTCGAACGATCCTTTCACAGTGGTCGCCTAAGACCATCGGAAAACACATATATAATTACATATTGTTTTTGTGATTAATCACTATCTTTAATTATGTTCAATTTGTAACAATGAAAATACATCCTGCATATCAGATATTACATTACGATTCATAACAGTCGCAAAATAACAGTTATGAAGTAGCAACGAAAATAATTTTATGGTTGGGGGTCACCACAACATGAGGAACAGTATTAAAGGGTCGCGGCATTAGGGAGGTTGAGAACCACTGCTATAAAAGATGGGAGTTTCCCCTAGATGGCCTTCAAAGGTACCATATGCAGGGGTGGGGAACCTCAGCCCTCGGCCCATATACAGCCCATGAATTCACTTGGTCTAGCGCTGCCATGGCATTAGGGATGAGTTAACTAAATGTTTGAACAAATATATATATATAACACAGGCTAATTTTTAAATTAATAATTTTGTATGGCCCGAGAATGATGTTATAAATAGCCAAATGGCCCTTAGCAGAAAAAAGGTTCCCCACCCTTGATTTAAAGGGATTTTTAAGACAATGATTTACCTTCACTTATGCACATTATTTTGTTACTAAGGTAAAAAGATTCCAAAGTAAAAGAAAAAAATTACTGGCATATAAAATGTCTATCTGCTAGTAGCCATTATACGTTACCTGTTTTTGTTAGCAAAAGGTTATCCAAGTGCCTGTCTCCAACTCCAAGTATATATGTAATCACACAATATCCAGCTGTAATAACAGTTAAAAAACAAACAAATTGTGAATAACACATGCAAACCAGGTTATATGGAGCGCTGAATACAAAAGCAATGTGTGCTGCTTTAATTTCAAATTGCTTACTACTGTTTTTGATTTCTCACCTAAATTCTCAAATTAAATTTATAAGCTTTGACTCTATGAAGTTTATTATTTGAAACTCAAAAGAAATTACTGTTTGCAACCGAAAAAAACATCGTGTAGAATTTTGTCAAATTATAAAAGCCACTTGTTTCAAAAGTGAAACCAGGTTTCAGGTCTACCATTTCTCATTTATTAGACATGCGTTAAAGATGATGTGAAAAAAAAGTGTCTACAGAAATGCACATAATGAGTCAGTCATCCCACAATCGTGTTGTCTACAAGATAACAAAGTAAATGCAGGGTTTAAAAAAACTAACAAAAAAAAACTTTATAGAAACAATTCTCAAGTGCCAGCCAATAGAAAATAAGAGAATTCATTTAAGCAGTAAAGACATTTATGCAATTCACAATAGGACTTATACCTATTACTATTAATCAAAACCACTAATGACTTCTTTTATCAACAGTTTATATATCTTAGTCTTCTTATAGAGCATTTTTATGCCTCCCCCAAATCCACATATTGGAATCCTAATGCCAAAGTGGTGGTATTATAAGGTGGGGCCTTTGGGAAGTCCTTAGGTAATGGGGGTGAAGCCCTCACAAATGGGATTAGTGCTCCTATAAAAGAGACACCACAAACGCCCTAGCCCCATCCACCACATGACACAAGAAGTCTTCAACCCAAAGATGACCCTCACCTGACCATACTGGTACCCATGGTTGGAATTCCAGCCTCCAGAACTGGTAATATTGTTATAGTAGCCTGAAGAGCCGGAGACACCTTAACACATTCTAAATGTGTATGGATATGGAAATCGCAGAGTAGCCTACTTCCCTTCATTCTAGCATATCAATGGAAGGAAATAGTCTGTCAAACTTACCACAGCTTTTAACATACGTGTCCATTACCTCAGCACTGATCCCATAGGGCCCATTGTCACTTGGTGCGTATTTTCTAAAAAAGTTCTGAAAAGATAGTATTTTACATGTTAACAAATTCAATATAATTCTTAAATACATTAGGCATTTCGAAACTGTAGATAATTACCATAGGTATCTGATCCAAAATTTAGTCTGTAATTATAAAATGTGGATTTTAGGAAGCATATTCCTCAGGAATAAGTCTATTGCTATGCTTACAAACTGTTAAGACAAAACAAACAAACAAACAAAAAAACACACACACATATATGGTTAAAGAAAGAACAATAAATTACTGCTGTATCACCATCCTTAACATATCACTTGTTTCATCTTTCTTCTGAAAGTAAATATGAGGACTGTGGGTTTTTTTTTTTTAATCATACATTCTCCTGAAAATGAACATGAGTTGTTGTTGTTTTTAATTAAGTAAACACTTTTTATCCAGGGGTTCCGCATACATAGATTCAACCAGCCGCAGACCAAAAACATTTGGGGGGGAAAAATGTTACCTGTTGCAAAACCTGAGGCTTGAAGGGTATGTTAGGTGGTTCCCAGACCTCCGATAGGTTTGATTTGGTAGATGGAGTCACAGACTCAACATATAGTTGCAGCACGAATAAGAAATATTATTTTATACAGCATAGGCACAGCAAACCACCCTTATCAGTTATGGAACAGAGGGAACAAACACACTGAAAGCCAAATTTCCTGATACAAGCCAAGGGCTGCCTGTGCAATCCACCGGGCCTTCTAAAGACAGTAGCCTTGGCCTGCACAAAGGGTTAAGCAGTCACTTAATGTTCATAGCGAAAAAGCAGCAGAGCCAAACTTCAACCCCAGGCAGTTTGATGTTCTGACCCCGAGCTTTTAACCACTGTACATAACTGTACCCCAAACATAAGAACAGAGTAACCACTTGCTCTGCCAAGAAATCAGAGTAATGCTTTCCTGCAAATCTAAACTCCATACTGAATTAGGGACACTCTAAATCGAAAAAGACAAAAACACACTGTAGCAAATGTCCTCTATCAAGCCCCTGTTGTATTATCTTTCATCTCAGGCGTATCGATTATTCTGTGAGAATATCGTTCATTTTTCTTACATAAAGAAAAGGAAAAATTATATTTAAAAGTTAACAAAAATAAACCAGTAAGATATAATAAGAACAAACCCATATATTTAAAATGTAAAAATTCCCAATATTAAAAATGGCTTAGTCCTAGGATCTACTTGCCTTTTCTTATATTAAAGGAGGCAGAGATGTTGCAAGAGGAGGACAGGGGCCTGAGAAAATAATTGTGCAAAAATGCACAAGCAAGAGTATCACTAGAGCACTAAACAAAAATTCGAGATAATCGAACTGTTCATTAATGGTTAAATGACAATATTTCCACACTTTGAAATGTAGCCATAAACTTAAGGCATTTTTAATTTGTTCACCAATTAATTACTGATCTCCTATTATGTCCTAATTATGTCTCATATTTGAGAACCTCTATGTCCTAATATGGAAGAATTTCCAAATGTTATTTAGCATTGTTTACTTCTGAGGAAATGAAAAAATACTTGCAGGAAAAAGGGTGATAAAAGGAGACTTTCATTTTAACTTACATACTTTTATACAGCTTGAAATTTTTATAACAAGAATATATTCATGAATTCTATAAATCTTTAAATAAGTATCATACCTGAATGCTTCCTTCTGTATCAAGAACTTCAGCAACAGGAACTGACTGGATAAACTGCATGAAGCCTACACAGAAATAAATGCATAGCCCTGAGCTAAGTTATTGATTAAGCAATAAAAATAAAGGTTCTGCTAAGAATAACCTTCATTTGCAAATGTATACACTACATACCTGAATAACTCTAAAAGATCTGCAAACACTATTTAGATTCATTCTGGTGGTTATCTCAAAGGATAAGGTAACTTTTAAAAAAATAAGCTAATTTAATCTGTATGTTTCTCTAGGCCAATTTCTATAATTGTACACAAGGAACACAAAAACGTAAGAAGCCAAACTTCTTAAATCTGGCATAAAAATTTCTTCTTTCTGTATTCTGTATATTTTAAACATATCAATTAAAAATTTCCCATTCCACATTTAAAATCACTTTAAGAATCTGAAATTGTGTAATATCCATCACCTAACCTTAAAACTGTATTCTGTTCATTAGCTTTTTTATTTAATACTCCATCTTCTACCTTTTAATGGGAATGATAGAAGAAAAGTGTAAATCCTTTAAACTACCAAAAAGAAGAGGGGGAGATAGTATACAGGAGAACAAGAAAAAAAATCTGGTTACAGCAGGAATATAAAACAACAAATACATTAAAAAAATCAAAGTTGAATGATGGAAAGAATTTCAGGATCATAAACAATCATGATCTGGTTTTGGTGAGCCTCCTATCAGCTATTTGCATGCAAATTAAGAGATTGGATACTCTTTTAGAATATGAAATGTCTCATCCATTACTATATCATAAATACGAAATAGTCTTCATTAATTCACTTAAAATTTGTTATTGTTTCTTTACTACATAGCAAGAACTTTGCCAGGTAAAACATAGAGCCTTGACCATGCCTTCATAGACCAAGCTTTAAACTTACAAGCTTGCAAGTTTTATTGGGATAAATACTACAGATGAAAGAGTACTACGAAAGAGAATAGTGTACAAGCATGTCAAACTCACAGCCACTGGGCCGCATGCCTCTTTTAAATAACATTCTTGGGTAGGAGAACTAAATTACAATAGAGAACAGAAGGCATCTGGCAATTTGAGCCATGTTTTGAAGGATAATGGGTTAACAGGTAAAGCTGTGGAGGAAAGAATGTAAAAGATAATGAACACAGCTATGTGAAAGCCTGAGGGCTGAAAGACCACAGTGCATGGAGAAAAGGGAAGGTGGTCAGTGTGGCGAGAGCCCCAGAAGCAGGGGTGAGAGGCAGAGGACAGGCTTCAGGGGCAGGCACAGGGGGAATGTCACTCTGCAGAACTAAGCTGTGGCTTTTGCCTTCATCCCAAGAGCAAGTGAAAGCTAATAAATCAAGTTAAGCAAGATAGTCAAAGACCATATCTGCATTTTTTTTAAAATATATATTTTATTGATTTTTTTACAGAGAGGAAGGGAGAGAGATAGAGAGTTAGAAACATTGATGAGAGAGAATCATCGATCAGCTGCCTCCTGCACATCTCCTACTGGGGATATGCCCGCAACCCAGGTACATGCCCTCGACCGGAATCGAACCTGGGACCTCTCAGTCCACAGGCCGACGCTCTATCCACTGAGCCAAACCGGTTTCGGCCATATCTGCATTTTTAATAAGCTCATTCTGAGAGGAAAATGAGAAGAATTATTAAATTATCAAAAAGATTTGGGCCGAAACCGGTTTGGCTCAGTGGATAGAGCGTGAAAGGTCCCAGGTTCGATTCCGGTCAAGGGCATGTACCCGGGTTGCGGGCACATCCCCAGTAGGAGATGTGCAGGAGGCAGCTGATCGATGTTTCTCTCTCATCGATGTTTCTGACTCTCTATCTCTCTCCCTTCCTCTCTGTAAAAAATCAATAAAATACATTAAAAAAAAAAAAAGATTTGGAAGTGGCTTGGGAAGGGCAGGAAACCTGAGAGATAACTTGTTTCTCTGGGTATCTAAAGGTATGCAACTCTAAGAGAAATAAGACTATGGACTTCACAACAGGCGTTCCTAGGGAATCTCGCTCCAGCTTCCAGAGGATATTCAATGTCAAAAAGCTGTGGATGCTATCAATCCATATAGAAAATCAGGTAATTAGTGGCTTTAATTAGCAGAGCACAGTACAAAGCCGCTCTAGTAGTAACTCTGAAATGATGATTCAGGACACAGATTGCCATGTAAGAAATCACTGTGAATTATAACCAGCTTTGAATGCAAAGAAAGGTTTTAGTTTTTATTCCAAATATGATGTTTAATGATTGGAGAGGAAGAGAGGCAAGGAGAGAGGCAGGCAGGCCAGCCCAGCTGGTCTTCAGTGCTGCAAATGAGTGCCAGTTCTAGCATTTTTAATTCCTTTCAATTAAAAAAGGAGAAGTATACTCACTGACATTGAAATAGACCACCACAGTGTAAACTAAACTTACCATGTTTTGTACTGGTGGCTAATACTTTATAGGGTGTTAACTTCAAATCCAGATTTTCTTTCCGCAGTAGCTGTTGGTCAAAAGGTAAAATACATGAACTAAATGTAAAGATTGTTATGAAACAGTTTTACAGGCAAGTATTATAGCAGTTTAATAAATAAGAGTCAGGAAGTGAACCTAAACTAAGATTTAACTAAATTCCTTAGTTAATTTAACTTTCATCATCAAAATAAATTTATTAAGCACTTACTGGATGGTGTGCCAATTTTTTATCTTAATCTAAATCACTGTCGGTTTTCAATGAACAGCAGACTTCCTCCTACTAATTTATGCAGGTTTTTTTTTTCTGCTCATAAAGTATTTGAGACTCAGAAAAAAAGAACTAAAAGCAAGTATGTTCCTTTAAAATCCTGGGATAGGGATGGGATTTGAAAATGATCTAGTTGACTAAGAGGAAGGAAATTACTAAATCCAACATTGAACCAATTTAGTTGGGAAAAATGTTTTTATAAAAAGAAACACATGCAGTTTCATTTTATCCCCATCTCAAGAGCCATTCTGCAGTGCACAAAACAGCTGAATTTGTTCAAGGTCAGGTGGAGACTGCTGAGCTTTCTGTGTTGTACTTGAGATGTTACAAATATGTCCTGTGTCCATATACAGCATATGTACTAAACCAATTTTCGAAAATGAAATAATGTTCCCCACCAACATAAGGCTATGTTCACCTTGTCCATGAGTGAAATGATTTGAAGAATAAGTTGATCTTGGCGTAAGTCATCCCCATGCTTAAATATAACTGGGTATTTGCCTCCATCTTCTGTCTTAAAGAACAACTGTGCAGGCATAAGGGCACTCTGGAAATAAAAATATTGCTTTCAAATTTGGATATAAGTTAATGTATGAAAACTGACTACGCGCAGAAGAAAACGCTGACATGTAAGAGTTGCCAACAGGTAAACAGGACCTGAGAAACAAGATGGTTGGCAGCAAGAGGCATTAGGGAACGCTGGAGAAAACAGTGAGCTAGCTAATAGCCAGGACTATTGGGCATATGGAGCACAAGCTCTGGACTCAGTCACTAGATTTCATCTAATTAAGTGAAAGATTCTAGTTATTCTAGAATAAAAAATAAAGGTATTTGAGATCACCCTTCATTTCATAAAAAAGTAATTTAAGTCTCAAAACTGCAAAGCCAGTCATATACCTGCCATTAGGATCTTGACTCTATCTGGTGCATTTTAATGCTGTACTGTTTTACCTCATCTACTCCAGTATGTCTCTAACACTACAAATAATCATGGCGAGCACATCTCCTCTTTATCATGCATGGTGCCGGGCTCTTGACCCTCTCTCGTTTCAGACTGCCTTAGCAGCTATGCAGAGGAGGTGTTAGTTTTATCTCACAAGTGAGGAGACAGGAGAAAAAATGTGTGCAAGGTCATCCAGCTCATATGGGGCAGAGCCTGAATCCATGACCATGTCATTACAATGCCCAGCAGATAATGATGCTGCACAGGTCATGATAGGTCCTGTGGCACAACTGGAGAAGACAGCTACCACCAGCTGGCTGTTTTTAACTATCCAAGAGTTGGCTGGTCAAAAGAAAGCCTAGCATGCCCTTCAGGACTAAGGAGAATTACTGTACTACATAAAAATATGAAGGAGAAAGTTAAGCCATAAGAACAGGTTGAGCAATGTTAAAAAGGTTAACTGGGACTCATATCTAACCAAGTGAACCTATGAACTGAATGCATAATATAAGGTTTTCAATTTAACTTTTTAAATAAAAGATCAAATGGGAAAAAAGTAGGTGTGACTCTTATTAAAAAGTAGTTAAAAAAATTAAAGGTTGAAAAACAACCCAGATATATATAAAAATACTTTACACATTTCATACTTAAGTGCCTACTGGTAATATAAGATCTGAAATCAAAGCACTGTTAAATAAAGGGTACCTTTTCCCCTAGCATTACTAAATCAAATACAGATATTACCTGCAGTGTTCTAGCTTTAAAGAACTAGGTTCTAATCATCCATGTTAAAGATCCATCATGATTACCTTGAATAGTGTAGCTGTTTCTGGGATTATTCCTCTAATTTTCACCTGGGGTTCTAGAGGCAATGGGATAAGTTCCACATCTGACAAGTTCATCTTTTCATTATCTCCAAGCAATGCCTGAAGTCTCTCATTCTAGAAGAAGGCAGGAAGGATTAATTAGGTTAAACTTTTTTAAAAAGTAGTTTATAAAACATGGTAAAGACATAAAGACTGATTCCGTTAACTTTAAAGTATCTGCAAAACACCACAAAAAATATGTGCCAAGTGAGAGCTGCCAGGGGCAGCATGCTCTAACAGGAGCACTCCTTGGATTATGAAGAGCTGGACTTGCACATGGTCAGAGAACACATTTCTCTTGCTCATCTGAGAATCAGGAATATACTCAAGCTAGACTTAAAGATTCCATTTTTGTTTTCAAATGATATTGAACCAAAAAGAGAAACTAACTTCATTTGAAGCATAATTTTTGCATGACCAATTATCAAGCAAGAATTTCATGATGCTGCTCCTGTGCAATTTTGGGGTTTAAAAAGTAAACTCAACCCTACCCAACTTGAACCCTACCGTTCATTGTTCATTAACTCTGACTGATCAAACTTCTCCTAAGAAATCATCATTTATTTTCTTCAGCTCACACCCACACTGCATTGAACCAACATTTCATGTCACAGTGAAATAGCTTCATCACTGAGCAACAGCTGTGCTATTTAGACCAAGCCCTTCCATTCCATTCCAAAATAATGTCCATTTCTTTGAATGCTGTGAGAGTCATGCACTCTTTGAACAGGCAAGCTTATTCTTTAAGGGGCAACTTGACTTGTCAGTCCCCGCAGCATAGAGCACTTGAACTGTGATGCTACTGAAAGGATGTGTGCCTCAAAGGGAGAGCTCTGAATCAGTAAGACAGAAGTTCAGAAAAATGTTTAAAGGACCACCAAGACATAAATTAAATTCTTTCCCTTTAGTAAGACCTCAATTCTCCTTTTGAATCGGCAAGTTCAAGTTAAAATCAACTGAAAACTGGTATGAATTTCTACATATCCCCTACAAAAATCAGTAAGTCTACCGAACCAAATGCGCCATCAGACATATCTATGTATTTGAAAACCCAGCGGGTGAATGGTGGAACGACCAGAAGAACCAGTCAACCAGTCACTATGACACGCACTGACCATCCGGGGGCAGACGCTCAATGAAGGAGCTGCCCCCTAGTGATCAGTGTGCTTTCACAGCGGGAGCAGCTGCTAGAGGCCCAGGGTGAGCCCGAGTCTCTGCACCTATCAAATACCTGAGACAATCCAGACTCTGGCCTGACCCCACCACCAGCTGATGCAGGCCCCCTAAGGTGTGTTCTAGAAAGAGTGCGGGGAGCTGGCACAGGCGGATGGCAAGAGGGGACGTGACTGTGGACTCCCCAGGGAGGCTGTCCTAATGACTGAGGATCCTGGAGCATGGCTGCCCTGAACATCCCCGATGGTGTCACTGACCTGGCATCACACATCAAGAACATTTACCGAGTGACTTTGGGGTGCAAAGTTTCTGCCAGGTTCCTCCAGGACACAGAACACGCCTTTACCCAAGACATTACCCTGAAATATCAGCTCACATTAATTGCCCCTTTCAGCAGCCACTCACAGGGCGGGTCCACAGCCACTAGGCCAGCCGTGGGCAACTACGGCCCACGGGCCAGATCCCGCCTGTTTGAAATGAAAAAAAAAAAGACCATACCCTTTTATGTAATGATGTTTACTTTGAATTTATATTAGTTCACACAAACACTCCATCCATGCTTTTGTTCCGGCTCTCCGGTCCAGTTTAAGAACCCATTGTGGCCCTCGAGTCAAAAAGTTTGCCCACCCCTGCACTAGGCTGACCAGGATGAGCAGCGCTCCCACAGTGGGCCAATGCCCGCAGGCCACGCCCCCCCACCAGTGGATGATTCCGTGCACCAGGCCTGTAGTACTAATATAAAGTAATGTTAACTAATTTGAATATCTAGTTATACCATCATAACCAATTTCTAGTTGATGTGCTCATAAACAGTAAAATAGCCAGAAGCAGATAATAAAAGAAGGGCCAGAAATCCAGCCACTTCTTCCTACCTCCATTGCTCTAAGCCCTGGGGTCCAAGCCACCAACATTTCTCATTTTGATTCCTGCAGCAGCCTCCTGCTGCGCCTCTTCTTCAACCTCTGCCTCTTACAGTCTCTTATTAAAAACAACTAGAGTGCTGCTGCTAACAAGAAAGACAGCTCATGTCACTCCTGTTCAAACCTCCAATAGCTTCCACTCTCACTCAATGTTTAAGTTAAAGTCCTTAAAATGGTGTATATAATGTGTTTCCTCTTTATCCTATTTTCTCCCTCTTAACCTTGTGAACATTATTCTATGCACATATCTCTGCTAGCAATTCTCTCTAGACCTGATCCCCTGTCTCTGAACTCATGACTCAATTTTTCACCTTTCCCTCTCTCCACTTGCATCTCACAAGCCTGGAGAACAACAGGAACATGGATTGTGTTGTTAACATAGTAGAAAGGCCTGCCTACTATGGGATTAGGTGAAGCAGGGGTGGGGAATGCCCAGCCCACGGCTGTATAAAGCCCTTGAAATCATTTGGTCTGGCTCTACCAAGGCTTTAGGGGTCAGTTAATTAAATGTATGACCAAACATAGCAGGCTAATTTTTAAGTTGATAATTTTATATGGCCCACAAAAGATGTTTTAAATATCCAAATGGCCCTTGGCAGTAAGAAGGCTCCCCAACCCTGAGGTAAAGATAAGATATCAAGTGAGTCCTTCATATTACGTAGGCTATTGATTAGAAAACAGTGATGCATGAAGAACAGATGCCCAACTGTCCTCATCAAGCAAAAGCCTCGCTGTTGAGAGAAAGATCAATGCACAGGCCATGCATCAGAGTCAAAGCCAGTGCTGTCCGAAACAACTGTTCTGCAACCCTGGCTAAGCCACTCTGGACCTTCACTTTCACAGATAGATTCTAATCTAAATGATCTCTAGAGGCCCTTTCCATGTCAAATGGGTTATATTCTAGGATGCTAAGATTCTAAAATAAGAGCCAATAAAACACTATAGGTAAAATATAGACTCAAAAAATATGGGTACACATCCCAATGCTAATCCTTGCTGAGGACATTGGACAAATTAACTTAATTTCTCTATTCCTACTTTTCCTTACAGCTGGGAAAATAATAATAGTACCTAACTTATAGGGTTGTTGTGAGGATTAAGTCAATATATAAAACTCATAAAATAGAATTCCATAATCAGTATGCTTAAGTGTTCCTATTACTAAAATTAAATAAGTTTTTCATAAAATATATCAACCCAAAAGTACCAAAACTCAGAATTTTATGATATCGAGACATTAGTCATAAATAAAAAGCAAATCCCATAGGTTTTACCTTTTTCTTACGATTTCCACTTTCACGCTGCACTGCCTTCATTAGATGCACCAGCCGATCTACAAACGTCTGCTGTGCAGCCAGCAAGGAGCGCATAACTCTGACAGACTTGTCACCCTGAAGGTATTCAACGGGAAGGAAAATTAATTCTATGCAGCATAATGATCAGGGTTTCTTTAATAGCATGGGCGATCTTTATTTATTCTTTTAATAGCTGCAAACTTCAATGCACAGTGTAATTGAAAAAGATTAATTATCTTGATTCAGAGATGAGAAACCTGCGATCTTAAACAACACCAGCTTTTCCACAGTTGAAATATTAAGTGAGTCTTCAGCAAATACTAGTCAATCAAAAACAGCACGGTTTTTTTTTATCACATACAACCATGTAACAAAATAGAATTCATTCACACAAAATGATTTCACTCATTGATTCAATAAATTTCTGGACGCCTATGATGTCTTTAGCAATGTGCCGGGGACATGGTAGCAACAATATTGGTAGAACTAAAAATCTACCAAATAAAGGGTAAAGTTCTCAAATAGCAACATTTTATATGCTGGCTTAGTAAAATAAAAGTTGTAATAACTAAATGCTATAAAGTCTTAGTGATTCTCAGTTCATAAAATATTATAAAATACAGTGAATTTTCCAATTACACTGGTAAGGACAGCTGGGAAAATATTATCACCCTCATTTTGAAGATGAAAAGATGTAAGCTCAGAGGAACTGAGATTTCTTCACAGAGTGACAAATGCCATAAGTGAGAGAACTGAGATTAGAAAAGAGCACCAATTTGCTAATTAATTATTTGCTATTTGCTAATCAGTTTGATGTAGAGACACTGAGCCTGAGGACTATATAAAAGTTTAGTCTCAAAGAGTTAAATAAGAGGTGTTTTAAATATTTAATAAGATGAAAGATAAAGTAGTAGTATTTCTGAAAATCGCAGATGGATGTGCTCTCTTTTCATTGCTGTGTACCATATTTTCTCTTTAAATGACAAATGCTAAGCTGTGAGCTTTTAAATTTATTTCAATGGATTATATATGATGTACAGTATGAAAATCATGCATCTATACCAACTTGCTTGTTTCATCAATAGCGAAATTTAGAGGGGTTGTCTGCCTCACCTTGGTACAACTGCTGGCTGAACTTTGACACTGCTGTAAGAGTCACAAACACCAAGGGAAAATGGATTTACATACCATCTCTAAAAAATGTTTAAGAAGGAAAATATATGGTGTATGGAAAGTTTCTGCAATATGACCACTGCCAAGCTTTTTGGAACATACTTAGTTTTGAAAATAAAAATAGTAAACAGAGGTAGAAATGGAAAAGCAAAGTGTTGGGGTTTTTGGTTCCATGTATAGGTTTATTCATTGAATCAGGGATCAACAAAATTTCTGTAAAGGGCCAAGGAATAAATTCTTTAGGCCCACTGGGCATACACTTTCCATTCCAACTATTCAACTGCTAAGGTAGTGCAAAACTGGCCATAAAGAGTATGAAAACAAAAAGCATGACTAGGTTCCAATAACATTTCACTTAAGAACACTGAATTTGAATTTCACATAATTTTCCTATATCACAACAAATAATATTCTTTTGACTCTTTTGAACCATTTGAAAATATAAAAACCATTCCCAGATCAAGGGACATATCAAAACAGGCAACAGGCCAGATCTGGTCCAGATTTGTCACCCTATGTTAAATGGTTACCTTCAACAATGCTTGGCTGAATCGTCTCATCACATTCAAGTACATCTCATGGGTCTTTGGGTCTCTCTGCTGAGTATCTTGATCTTCACATTCCACTATCACATACCTTAAAAATACGTTGTCATTCAGATGATATGAAATGAGTCTCAGGTTCATTTTGTAAATATTTATGCCTTTCCACTAAAAGATTAAATCACATTTGCAAAAATATAATAAAATGGGAGTAATGAGGTATTTTATCATCACTCTTTTAAGAGTGGAAATATAAAGGCCAACATGTACAACCATCTATAAAAGGTAAATAAATAACTAGGTAAATAAATAACCATCTATAAAAGGTAAATAAATAAATAACAGTAACTAATTTGCACACTATACTAGATTTTCTAAAAATTTTGGGATTAAAAAAAAAAAAACAACAAGCATTTTTTCCTATACTTTCTGAGGTACAGAATTGCTGGGTCATATGAGAGTTTTAGTTTTAATTTCTAAGAAACCTCCACACTGTTTTCTGTAGTCGCTGCACCAATTTACAGAGGTTCCCATCACAACTTTGTAAACACGACCACATTTATGCACACAGATGCATATATCAAAAAAGTTTCAATGGATTATATATGATATACAGTATGAAAACCATGCATCTATACCCACTTGCTTGTTTCATCAATAGCGAAATTTAGAGGGGTTGTCTGCTCCACCGTGGTACAATTAGCTGACTGTAGAGCTAAAATCGGAACACAGGACATTGGGCTCCTCGGTCAGAATTCTTCCTGTTCTACTCAGCTTACTCCCATATTGTTTTATCTTGAGAAGCCACAAGAAACTTTTCAACCTTGTTACCTAATACTGTTTTACAAATCTCAAGTCACAGCCACCATATTTCCTTGTACTATTTCTGGGAAAGAGTATATTCAGCCATGTAGAAGGTAAATTTCATGAGAGCCGAGAGCTTACCCTTGGCACTTCCATGCCTGGCACCTAATATTCAATATATTATTGTTGAACGAATAAATGACTTATCTCATGGATTTAACCATTATTTCTAAGTTGATAATTCTCAAATAGGTAAATACATTCCTTTTAACACGGATTAATTTTGATTTCATTATGTGGTCTGCTTTTACTTGCAAACTTGCACTATGCCCATTTTATGCATTCACACTTCAGTCAGGTCAATCCCCTGACTACCCCGTTGTGCTTCTGGTCATGTTGCAGTACTGTCCACAAACACCTTCCCGTCTTCACCTTCCCAGTCTACCCATCCTTCCAACAGAGGGCAACGCCCTATCTCTTTCAGGAAGTCTTCGCATGTCCTAACAACTTCTTCCTGTGTGTTTATGCAGCAAATTCATTTACAAATGAGCAATACTGATGACCACCTTGTGGAGGCTCCTTGCTCTCCTAGACCACCAAGTAAACACAATGGTCACAGAGATTTCGTGTGATTGAGGGTATAGATTGCTGCTCAATATAAAGGTCAAGGATCAAACACCTCTCAAAATCATTTAAGCCAAAGTTCTGCTGCACAGAGCAGTCCATATAAAATAAAAATAACAGTACCATTTCCAAATATGAAGTGTAGATTTAGATCATGACTAGAAAATGTAGATTTGAATCATTTCTGAATTCTCTGTTCAGAGCAGTAAGCTAAGTTTTACAACGCACTCTAAGGTATTCCCTTGAAATCTGTCATCTTCAAGTAGAAAGGCAGACAAAACTATTCCATTTCCCATTGTAAGATGACATCAGTGGACTACCTGTGTCCTGGCAATTTTGTTTTGTGGGGTAAATAACCTTTATTACCTTGAAAAGTCTTAAAAGTTAGAGAAAAACATGTCAAAGCATCCAAAGTTTACTTTCAATTCCATCATACTGGAATAGCTATAAAAATAAAACTCTGAAACGATTTATAGATCCTGATGCCCAACATTTCACAGATCGGAGACTATAACTTCTCTCTGTGGCTTAAAAGGTTGACACTATTCATTTTAAGAGGATTGTCTGCACAACAATAGGCCCCTAAGGGTTCAGCTAGAGCAGAAATCCCATTTAAATCACTAGAAAGGGAACAAATGAAAAAGGAAATTCAAAATGTTCAAAAGGAAATAGAACAATTAAAATGTATACCTGACCTACTGGACAGTTTTTCTAAACTCAGTCAAAAACAAGACAGTATTTTGTTTAATTGTCATGGAAAGGGAAATGCCTCATTGTTCTTAAAAAATAATGAGCTTTCAGAATGGAGATCTATTAATTCGTACTGTTTAAGCAAGCACAGTAAATTGAGCAGTAAAAATTAGAGATTATTTCTATAGTTAAAAATATATCAAGTAAGTGGAGAAGTTTTAAATGTTCTCTCAATGTCCAGAGGCTTCAGGCAGGGCTTACCCAGCTGGCTCTTTCTTCCCTTTGTTTGCTCTGCAAAACTGGATAAGGTTTCCTTGTCTAGTGTTTAATCCTAGTGCTATGTTTTATTGAACCAAAATATTTCTCTTTGTGGCTTAGTCTTCTTGTCCTTTACACTGTAGGGTTCTGTGACAGATAAAGGGAATCATGCTTCAAATTAATTATATCTCAAAAAGTGAATTAGTCTTCCTGTGCCTTCCTTTCTTCCTTTCCTTCAACTCAAGAGACCATAAAATAGAGGTATTTAATACTTGCCCTATTTAACTTCACAGGAACAATTGAGAAAAGGTCACTGAAAATACTTTGTAAATGGCAAAGTGCTAGGTAAATGATCTAATCTTCAGGTTCTATCAAGTTCAATTATATGATGACTTTGCCTCAGTTTCCTCGTCCATAAAATAAGTAACCTCACATTCCCACTTTCCATTTCTGTATGCTTCGATGTTTTGGTAAATAATGTGAAAATACACACTCCTAAGGGACTATAAAGCATCATACTTAAACTTAGATACCATAAAAGGCAAGCAGACATTGAACTGAAAAAAAACCACACTCATTACCTTACCCAACCTGATCTTAGATACTGGAAAGTTAGTGAAAAGAAGAGAAATGGTGGTGCTAACAAGCATTCACGAGCATAGTTGTAAAGGAATACAGCTAGATATAAATACCATACTTAGGCTTTTGATGATTGCTCACACGTTATTTTAAACTGACTTAATGTTTATGATATTGGGAGGGGAGGGGCCTACAGAAAATAAACAGTAAATTATTTTCACATACCAGTATAAGTAATTAGCCAGTGTTGAGTTTTTGCAGGCTCTTGATATCAAAAAGGTGCAGAGATCTTGCTGAAAGAATTAAAAGAAATGTGTGTGTGTGTGTGTGTATATATATATATATATAACCAACTGCTATTAACTGTTTAATATCTAAACACATATTTGTTTTAAACATCGGGGTGTCAAAGATTCTTCTCAAATTAGAAGTCTTAGGGAGAAATTTAACAATACATACTAGTGCTTCTGCAAATGCACTTCCGAATGCACTTTTCAGAGTAGCACCAGCCAAATAGGCCTATTTTACCTCAAAAGTCAGTTTACTTATCTAAAAAGATTTAATTTTTCTGAGTTAAGAAACAGCTTTGTAGTGTATCAACCTTAGTATCAAAGCCACACATTTCTACAGTGTAATCACAAACACCAAAAATTACAGTAATGTTCATAAATATGTTAGCAATAAATATTGAGTTCCTTTAATAAAATAATGAAGCCAGTTTATTTTTACATTGCATATGAATCTATTCATATGCCCAAAGCACCAATAAAAAACCTCGAATTGAAGATCATCTGGTGCTTTTTGCTGAGAGGAAAAGTCATAAACATGCATCATAAAACAGGTTATTTAATAAAGTTGTAATATTTGGTTTATTAATCAAAATCAATGCTTTAAAAGCCACCATAGGCCCTGGCTGGTGTTTCCCTGTGGTTAGTGTTGGCCTGCAGACTGAAGGGTCTCAGGTTCAATTCGCAGTCAAGCGCACTTACCTGGGTTGCAGGTTCCATCCTGAGACCCAATGGCAGGAGGCAACTGATGTCTCTCTCTCAGTTTCTCTCTCTCCCCCCGCCCTCTAAAAATCAATGGAAAAAAATACTCAGGTGCTAATAAAAAAAAAAAATCCATGTTCAAACAAACCATTTTAGGCCCTGGCTGGTGTGGATAAGTGGTTAGAGCATCATCCCATGCATTGAAGAGTCTCAGGTTTGTTTCCTGGTCAGGGCACATACTCAGGTTGTAGGTTCGATCGCCAGTTGGGGCACGTGTATGAGGCAACTGATCGACATTTCTCTCGCACATGGATGTTTCTCTGTCCCTCCATCCCCTTCTTCCCTCTCCCTTCCTCTCTACTATCAATGAAAAACATATCCTCAGGTGAGGATTAAAATCAATTAATAAATAAAAATTTAAAAAATGAAAACCACTCTACGGTGTTTATCTGGTAGGATCTCTCCTATAGCAAACTTGAAAAGCTCTGCACTCACCTCCAGATTTTCACCATCTGAACCTTCTTTTGTTTTAGATGCTGGGGGAGGGGAAGACACTGGAGGAACAGGACTGGTTATAATTTGGGAGCTGAAAAAATAATAGGAGATATCACTGATATGTAACATATTCTTTTTGGAACAGCAGATATATTTTGTTTTGTGTTTTTTTAGCATATTTCATCTCAATTGTGTCCGGATAATGTGTCGCTTCCTAAGGTGTGTTCTGTGCAACACCAGAGTCACAGTATGCTTTGGGAAAGAGGCCTCGTGGTCAATGAATATCGATAATAGCTGCTTGGAGATGTGCAAGTCTGCATATTGCTAAATACTATTGTTAAAAAAAAAAAAAGCCCATTTTACTTCAAACAAGCATTCCAACATTTCTCAAACATATTTGGTCACAAAACCACCCCTAACAACTTTGTATCTTTTTAAAAATACACAAATTAGTGACCAGCAGACCATGATTTGGGAAATACTGGATTACAGTGTATATGCTGCCATAAAATCTTAAGCAGACCCTAAGAAAACATTCTAGGTGGCATAAGTAAGGAGGAAGGTAGCATGACTAGAGACAGAAGGCTTCCAATGTATACTGGGAGAAAATGTAAGGGGTATCTTCTCTTAAAAACAAAAACAAAAATTCTCTCTGTTTTTCAGTTCTTCTCCAAATGAAACACAGAAGATAAAAAAACAGCATTAACAATCATAAAAAATTTCAGAAATATAATCTTGAGCCCATGTGACAACTGAAATATCTGGACTGATTCAGGTAATCTGATTTCCAGAACTCATTCTCAAGACTTTACAAAATAGCTTATTATCACTGGGCCTCAAAGTTCTTGCTCAAAGGTTCCTATTTATTGCAAATTTTAAGATCTGATGAAAAACATAATGGCCAAGTAAAAAGAACATGGACTCTGGAGTCAACTCTACCATTTTGCAAGTTATGAGCTTTGGGCAATTAACTTAACTTCTAGTAAGTCACTGATATCTAAATTCTGGATATGAGCATCTGCCTCAGTAGATTACTGTAACAAGGCAATGTATGTAGACTACCTCACAGTGTCTGCTACAGAGGTGAGAGTTCTTAATTGTTATTATTGTTACTAGCTGATCTTAATTCAAGTAACATGCTCTTTATTTAGTATAACTACTAAAATATACAATTTTACAATAAAATATTTGAATCCACTAACATGCCTTCCTTCATTTACTTGAACAGTAAATAGTATTGAACATTATGTGTCAGACACTTTTCTAAATGCTTTATGTGTATTAACTCATCCAATGCTTCAACAACCCTTAAAGATCAGTTACTATTGCTATCCTCCCTGCTTTTAAGATGAGAAACTGGGGCCACAGAGAATATGCAACTTACACAATGTACACAGCTAGTAAGTGACAGAGTCAAGATTTTAACTTAGGTAATTTGACTCCATAGCCTGCAAAAACTGTGAGTGCACATGCCATATTCATTGCTAAAACTTCAAACTTAGTACCAACTAGGATTTTGTACATGTAGGGAAAATGGAAAGAAGACAGTTAGAAAGGAGGGAAACTCTCCGATGTGAAAACCAGTCCTCCCTGGATATCCATACCTATCTATTTCTGCAGAATTTATTCCAGAATTTGATGTACTCTCTGACATTGAACCCTGACTATCCTTCTTGGTAGGTTCTAATCCATTCTTTATATCGTCAAAATTTTCATATTTGAGAGCTTGGACCAGTTGTAATAGGTACATCAATAAATCCTGGAAAATAAAGAAATGAGATAATATTAAAAAAACAAATGCAATATGGTTATAGACATAACTTATTCCTAAATATTATGCTAACAATTCACTTTCTCTACCACTTATCAGCTGTGTTTCCTTTGTCAGATCACTAGGATACCTAATCTTGTGGGGTTTCACTGAGTCTTCATCTATAGATGGACAGATCATACAAGCCTTAGGAATGAGGTATGAGGATTAAATCAATTAATAGAAGAAAGTCACAGACTAGTGCCTGGCACAGAGTAAGTGGCCAGTAAATTCCTTGTTTAAAGTAGTATTCAAAAAGCAAAGCAAACACCAAAACAAACAAACTTTGCCCCACATAATTTTTTCTCATAACTATCAAGTGACATAAGCAACTATTATCACTTGATAGAAAGGAAAATGAGGTGAGAATAATACAGTATGTAGTGTTCCCAAAGACACACACATATATATATAGGCATATAGAGTCAGAGAAAAGACAAAATTCAGATCTTAATATACATCTAATGAATCAATAGTTTTTTTTAGCTGAGTATACATAATTCAGTACTGAAGTAAGGGTCAGAGAAAGGGAAATCATGAGCTAACTTAACCACCATAGTATTTATGCTATATTTTTGAAATTTCAAAAAAAACCCCCAAAAAAACCCTAAAAATTAATTGTTGAACCACACTTAGCAGTTTAGAATGCATGTAATGTTTCTATTATTCTCTACACCTCATAACAAAAATTATAAATGGTCTAGAAAGAGCTCAGTATCTACATGAACACTGATAACTCTAGACACAAACACTTAGCCTCTAAGTTTGAGGGAACAAAAGCCAGACAATCAGAAATAATTATTTACAACTTTTTTATTTAGATATAAACTCACACTGAGGGATTGTGTTGACTACATCATAGAGGCCTTTATCTAAACTTTATGACTCATGTCAAATGTAAAGAATTAATGACTTGAGTGAAATTTCTAATGAATCTAAAAATAAGTATTTTGATATTTCAAATAAATATGTAATAATTTTTTTACTTGCAATACAGTAAAGACAATCAGGAAGGAGAAGATAATATGCCAAATCACAATGCTAAGAACTGCTCTTTAATAGGAGAGTGAATAACATCCTGTCCTGATAAAATTATACAATATCTGAGATTTTCCTCAGGGAAGCTAATGAATGGGAGGGAACAGGGAGGAGAGAGTAAGAGGTGTTATAGATGAAATAAGATTGGCTATGAGTTGGCAATTGTTAAAGATGTGTACTTTAAATGCAAGCACTCACTATACTATTTACTTTAGTGTTTAAACTTTACAATAATTAAATACACACATAAAAATATCAACCTTAATAAAGGCTGAGCTTTGCTTCTTGAAATTCAGATACCACTACAAATTCAAAATGATTTAATTGTGTTTAATAAAGATCTTTGATAAAGTTCTATGGGATCAGCATTCCTAGATACATACTGAGGTTTGAGCATAAGCACTGCAGGCTGGCATAGACTATTAGGTTATATTTGAGAGCATATTCACCCTATAAAAATTCATAAGTAAAAAATATTGCTGGATTAGTCTACCTTATTAGGAATTATTAAAATTCAAGATGCAGCAACTTTATGTCAACACAGACTGTTCCTCCTTCCCTCGGGGCCTGAGATATAAAAACAGCCAGCATCAAGTTTGCAGGCTTTGCTTTCCAGAGGATTCAAAACCACCTTCAGAAAGTCTACACATACACACAACTGTCAGCAGTGGAAAGTTTAAAGGAGTTTGAAGGAGAATAAGATGACCATGCACCTCTGTTTTAGAGGCCCCAAGGGCTTTGCAAGGCTACAATTAAATGGGGCTTGTTGTATACTGACTAATAGAGGGGATCTGAATTATTCCCTAGCTGGTGCTGCATTAAACCATTTTTCATTAGAATTCCTCTTTCCAGACAGAGCAAAGCAAGCTCTGCTGCCAGGTGAGTGTCCTGGGAGAGATTGTCCTATCATGAAACAGATCAGGAAGTAAATTTTCATTTCACAGAGGAGTCCCTGGAGGAATATTTTAATTTTACTTCTGAAAACATACCCAGTATATCCTCTTCTCCCCTGAAAAAATCTCCTTACCCCTCCTTTCTCTCTCTCTCTCTCACACACACACACACTCAGCCTAGGATCGGGCTCTAGTTTAACATGTATCCAAAGAGGAATAATGAATGCTGATGTACCTCATCATCTGCCTGGCGCAGCCGGGCCACAGCATAGCGCCTCACTGTGGGGTTGGTGTAATGGGAGGACAGTAGCTCCAGGGAATCCTCCACGTCCATGGGCTTCCATTTCCCCAGCAGTTCCAGTGCCTGTTTGGCCTCCTGAGGTAGATCCCAATTAACACATTTCAAGAATTTTGTCAAAGCCTAAAATCAGAAAAGATGTTTCAATTAGAAACAACAGCCTATGACCTGGGGCAGGGAAGGTCAAGGGTTATGAAGCAGGTTCCCCTTGGTCCTGATGAAAGAGTGGCAGAGTCAGTGATAGACTCCTTCTGTGAACACTATAGTCATAGATTCAACCCTAGAAACAATGCAGGGCAGGAAAATACAAAAGCATGTTCCCTGTAACTCCACAGATCAAATTACTTTCAAAGCACTATGAATTTTTTCAGTTTCCTTTGACTTTTCTTCACTATGTTATTTTATTTATTTTTAATTTTATATATATATACATATATATACATATATACATATATGTATATATATTTTGATTTTTAGAGAGAGAGGAAGGGAGAATGATAGAGAGGAAGTCATTCATTGGTTGCCTCCTGCAAAGCCCCCCACTGGGGATTGAGCCCACAACTGAGGCATATGCCCTGACCGGGAATTGGACTGGAGACCTTTTGGTTCCTAGGTCAATGCTCAAGCACGGAGCCACACCAGCTGGGCATGCTTTGGTATTTTAAAACACTACAGGCCTCAAGACAAAGTTGAGGCTCATCTCATGAATTCTCAAATGCTTCTGAGACGAGCTGACCACTTTACAACATTTACATGTGACATAAAACAGACAATGAATGAGAAATTCTGAAGCCAAAGCAGGGTAGACTCCTCACCACTAACTCACTTTGAACACTTCTCTAGAATCATTGAGTTTCTTAGATACTCACATACATAAGGACTCAAATAAATGATTGTTATGTCTCTCTTCATAGAAACAGACAAATAAAAATTCCACAGAAACAAGTATAAAAATAGATAAACACAGAAGCAGTAGCAAATATTCTATGATTCAGCTAACTGTTTTAGTAGCTTTCTGAAACCTCACTACTTTAGTTCGGTAGCATACTGAAGTTTTCACCAAACTGTCAGGTAAGTAAATTACCTTGGAGCATGTCACTCATGGTTGCATGCATAATAGATACTCTTTAAAAAAAGGTGCTTACCTGTCAAAAATTCAACTTTTCCAGGAAGTTTTTGGCAACTTTCAGCTCTTCCTTCAGTAGCTGCCTCAATCTTAGTACTTTCATTTAAATGATGCTCTCCTAACTGCTAAATAATTTCGAGGGCTTTCTTAGTTCTACAACTGGAGTCTGCATTCCCCAAGGATAGCTATCTATTTCTCCTGCACACCGTTTAGTCCAATGTTTCCCCTTCCAATAAGAACATGAACTGCCCTAGGAATCACCCATGCAATTACTTTTCATTTCTAAAATATATTTTAGGTTGAATGTGGAAACAAAGCAATGCTTCTTAAATAACTACAGCAAAAGGTTTTCCATTTCATCGTACATCAGCAATCTTAATAGAAACATGTGGCTATGTGCTTATTATAAGCAAATCTTGCAGCATGCCTATATTCAATTCAATAACTGAAACAATCTAACCCCCACATTCTCAGATTTGTAGACTTATTAGTAAGATTTATAGCGTACACTACTGCCAAGACACATAAGGCACTGTACAAAGATTTCCACAACTTTATAGTGTTAAATGTTACAAATATAAACAAGGAGGTAGTAGAATGAAGGAAACAAGAAGAGAAATGATAAAGACAGAAAGCATAAGACTCTGAAGACAGCAATAATAATGATGATACTCCATCTTAAATTCTTAAAGATGCTTTATTGATCTCTGTAAAAGTACAGGATTCAAACGTAATGTGATCCCTAGAGTGCACACACAAGCTTGAGAGCCAGTGTGTTTGGGGTCAAATCCCAACTCTTGGCTCCATCAATTATTAACGGAGTCATTTGGAGCACATTATTTAACTTCTAACTGACCTATTTCATTAGGTTGCAGTTAAAATTAAGTTATTGAATACAAATGTTTAGGACAATAGCTATACATAATAAATACTTGATAAATGTTAAAATTTTATTATCCAATATTTTAACCCATTTCTGATGTTGAGTCAAACATCAAATGTTAACATTATCACACTTATTACCATGTTTTATATTAATAGCAATAAATATTTTTTTTGTGTGAAAAGATGCAATAAATATTTTTGTTAAACTCCCTTTGATCTTAGAATCACCTCACTGGTACTGCCTATTCTTACAATCATAAGCACAATCACTTTATAGCTGTAAAATACAATACTTATCATGTATATTTCTAATTTTAACTCCTACCAACTCAGTTATTAGAAATTTCTACTTTGCTGCTAAAGGAAAACCTATTCTTCTACTCAAGACACTCCTGATACCAAGCATGTGAGTTTTCTATACCGTTCAACTCCCTAATTTTCAGAGGAAACCAACTAGGCATTCTACAATTTAATTCAATTTTGACATTAACACCTGGGGCCAGGCTCACATGATTAATTCCCATTTCAGATGCCAACTTTGGATCCCCAGGTTGCCCAGATTTCTGAATACATTCCTCCAGTTCGATAATTTGCTACACTGGCTCACAGAATTCAGAGAAATACTTTACTTACTATTGTTGGTATATTATAAAGGATACAAATGAATAACCAGATGAAGAGGTACATTGGGCAAGGTCCGGAGGGGTCCCAAGCCCAAGAACTTCTGTCCCCATATAGTCTGAGGTGCCACTCTCCTGTTCATCAACCCAGAAGCTCTATGAATCCCATCACTATAGGTTCTTATGAAGGTTCCATTACATAGGCATGATTTATTAAATCACTGGCCCCTCTCAATCCCCAGGCCCTCTCCCAGAGATCAGGGGGAGGGGTTGAAAGTTCCAACCCTCTAATCACAAGGTTGGTTCCTCTGGCAACCAGCCCCAGCCTCCAGGAGCCACCTCATTAGCATAAACGAGTGGTTCTCAACCTTCCTAATGCCACGACCCTTTAATACAGTTCCTCATGTTGTGGTGACCCCAATTTCATTGTTACAAATTGAACATAATTAAAGCATAGTGATTAATCACAAAAACAATATGTAATTATGTATGTGTTTACCGATGGTCTTAGGCGACCTTTGTGAAAGGGTCGCTCGACCCCCAAAGGGGTCGCGACCCACAGGTTGAGAACCGCTGGTATAAACTCAGGTGTGGTTGAAAAGAACTCATTAAAACATGTTTCCTCTCATCACTACCACTATGAAATTCTTGGGTCTTAGAAACTATGCCAGGAACCAAAGACCAAATATATATTCCTTGTTATATTGTAATATCACAGTTGTTTTTCTAATAAATTCAATTAAAAATCACTTCTTAAATGCTATGGACCACAGATTTTAAAATATTTCATAAATTTAACTGGTTTTGTTGGATAAGTTGTTATAAACTTTCTAAGTGCAACATCAAGTCTAGGCTAGACGGCTTTCATTTGCAGTAATGAAGACTGTGTGCCAGCAAGCCCTGACAGTGACATAGACAAAAATAGGTGGAAAGACCAAATTTAACAACAACAAAAAATAAGTATAACTTTGTAAGAACAAATTTCCACCAATTTGTTTTCTGGGCACTGCTATCTCCTCCAGAAAATCTTTTTAGCCTCAGGAACCAAATGCCAAATAACCTAAAGCACTCTTCCTGGGAAATTGACCTTCTTTTTGTAGATAAATTAAGGGACAAGGGTACAGGAGTATCTGTTTCCTACAAAACCCATTTTAAATTATTACAAAGATACAAATGTGTCTGTGTGAATATGTTCTCTGGTCACTTCAAGGCCAATATATCGAAAAGTGCTTCCCAAACATTGGAAAATATCATCCACTCGGCCTAGTGATCGTAAGAATCCTATATATAATACGTCCTGAGAACTGAAGTTTCATCACCCACACTTCGAAAACTTAAACTCAACTGGTTAAATGAAACTTGTCATACACTTTATATCACTTGAGCATTTTATTTCTTTTGCACGTATCTAGAAGTAATTGAATTTCAGTGGGAAGTGACTACTTTTTAAACAAACACTTTTTCTTGCAAGCCTTTCTATCTGAGGCAGTTCTGCTCTGTAAATCTATTCTATGCTTCTTGAGCCTATACATTCTAACAGTTTAATTCAGTATCTTGCTGTGTATTTTACACAATACTGTGCTGCATTCAAAATACAATTTCTGTGACCAATATTATTCTTCATTTAACAGAGTATCATATCCTAACTCAATTTTTTTTTTTTTTTTTATAAAATACAAAATAAGAAACCTGTGATTCTATTGAGGAATATTTCCTTTCTTGTGGTGATGAAGGGAATAACACTCAAAGCTAGAGTAAATTTTAAAATTCTTCTCTCATTCTTGTTATGGATATAAGGAGAATGAAGATGCTCAACCTCAAAGAATTTCCAAAGGCCTCAATAAAAGATAAAGATTCAAAGCTGAAGAGTTAAGATAAGTTGCAGTTGGATTTTTATCTTTATTTTGAAATCAAGAAAATACAATTGCTTCAGAAAAACAAGTTAAAGCAGCTAAAGACCATCTCATGAGATTATAAAATATACTAGAGACCTGGTGCATGAAACTCGTGCACGAATAGGGTCCTTAGGCCTGGCTGGCGATCAGGGCTGATCAGGTTCCCTGCCTGCTTGCCTCCCGGCCTCCCCCTTCCCTCGCTCCCTCAGCGCCTCGCCACTGTAGCTGGTCACCCGCCATGTTCCATGCCGCCTCCTAGTGGTCAGCATACGTCATAGCAAGCGATCGAATTCCCGGTCGAACTCCCAAGGGGACAATTTGCATATTAGCCTTTTATTATATAGGAGGATTTATTCATTCTCACAGAACTTTAGAACATCTTTCTGACTGATATGACTTCTCCTTTTGTTTCTCTGTTCTGCCCCCAATGCATTTCATAATTTCTGCTGAGGCATGTGCATGATGCTGCAACTATAGAGGATCTCTATAACCCTCTATTTTGTCTTCACTGATGACTTTCTATTCTAACTCACAAATGTGAGCACATCAAGGAGCAGCATTGAAAATCTTTGTGTGGCACAGGTTCCTTAATCTAAGACTCAAGTTTCCTCACCTGTAGAACGGTAACAATAATACCTAAATTGGCCCAGCTGGTGAGGCTCAGTGGTTGAGCATTGAAACCTGAACCACAAGGTCACAGTTTGATTCCTGGTCAGGGCACATGCCCAGGTTGCAGACTTGATCCCCAGTAGAGGGCATGCAGGAGGCAGCTGATAGATGATTCTCTCTCATCACTGACATTTCTATCCCTCTCTTTCTCTCTCCCTGCCTCTCTGAAATCAATAAAAACATATTATCATTAACACTAATACCTAAATTGTGGGGTTTTTATGGGGCATAAAAGATCTTTGGCATAAAAGGCTGTTTAATAGATACTGGCTACTATTATCATATTTTAAGAGTTATTGAACCAATGTTCTAAGAATTTGCAGACTATTTTAAGAACTGGAAGAGACTTAAAGTTCACTGTCATTTAATCAATCATATTATATCTGAGGAAATTAAAGTTAAGGTAGGTAAAATAATCTGCCTGCAGTAAAAAGCTTATTAGTGGCAACACAGAGTCAAAACCAAGTCTGCAGATGCAGGTCTAGTGCTGACTTCATCATAATTTCCTCTCCCCCGAGACTTTATCTGGTCTATGGCTTCATTATGAAAAGCAAATGTCTAGTTCTGACCGAGCCTCTAGCCTGAACTCCAAGCTGGCTGTCACTCTACCAACTCAATTTACACATTTCAAATTACATTTCTCATATTCTCTCTAGCCATATGTCCTCCAGAATTCTACAGTTCCTTTAGTGATGTAAATATTTTGCTAGCCAACCCAGGCTCAAAGAAGTGAGAAGAAAAGAGGCAAATCAACATTTACTCTGCACCTACTATTCACCAGGTACTTGGACAGGTTATTCACCTGTAATATCTCACCTGCTAAGGAGCATTTCATCATTGAAAAAATGAGGAAACTAAGCTTCCAAAGCAATTTGCCTCATCTTACCTACTAATAATAAGTTGCAGCACCAGAAACAAAACTCATGCCTCTGACCTAACCCATTCAGTCGCTATCAATGCATCAACAAAAGGGTACATGTGTCTTTGTGTGTCTACCTCTACAATATTTTTTTAAAATGGACTATCCCATACTAGTATATTGTTCTGCAACTTTTTAAAAAATTTGACAAGAACTCTTTATTTCTATGGCAGTTATGCCTCACCTCGTTCATCAGCAACAAACATTGTAGATACATTTGATATATGAAAACATTCAAGAAACTTACTTTTTCTTGGTTAGTAAGATAACATCTAAATTTCCAAACAAGATCTTGTTCTTCATATGTGAGTTGCTTGGTTGGTGGATAACTCACAATAATCTACAACAAAGAAAAAAAGAACTACTTTTATCAAATATATTCTTCCTCTACATATTCCCATTTAAAATTTTTCATTTACTTAAAATATTTCTATTATAGAACTACTGTGGAAGCATGGAGAATGTGCATGCAGCCAAGTAAGACTTAATTTTACTGTCCTTATCAGTCCAAAAAGGATATTACTAAAGGGGAGAAAAAGATAAGATGAAAAAGTCATACTCCATATAAGGTATATAACTACAGACCTAATTTAATTAAACCAAACCAAACCAAACAAAATAACTAAAGACTCCCCCTTAAATGGGAAAAATCCAAACAAATCTTTCTCTTATCCAGTCACCGTGCACTACCATGCATGTGTGCACACCAAGGCCTCTCTTGGGCAATGCAGCTTAGGGCCATAGCGCCAGCTGTAAGAGTGCTATTGTGTGAAAGTATATGCTATTTGTAGCTCTATCTCCAGGACGGATATATTTACTGAAAGCCCCCAAATAATAATAAAACTACCAAAATTTGAAATAACTTTGGGTTCATTAACCTTCATAAATGAAGTGGTATCACATCGATTATAACCAACATACCCATGTAATTATTTTTATATTAATACTTTATAAATTCTTACATTTAGTTGGTCTCTTGTGGTAGCATTAGGCTTGAGATCATGGTCAGAAGGTCCGCTTCTTAAACTCCGGGCAAGCTTGTGGTGTTTGCTCTCAACCAAGTTCTCCTATTAATTATTTAAAATATTTATCAACGATGTAAACTTCACCAAAAGGGAGTTTCAATACCAGTTAGAAATAGAAAAGTTAATAGTTACTTAAGACCATTTTGTAATACTATTTTATTTTGGTTACAACTTGAGTCTCCTATGTGTTTAAAAATATATCACCATTTTGAGATAATCAAACTAAGCATGCCTTATGCTTCACTAGTGCCCTAATAGGCATGCACATGGCGTTCCAGCTTCTTAAAACATCTATCCCCATTCTCCAGGTATTCAAGGTTTTCATGTTCTCTCGTCATTCAATACCACCTTCTCTCTAAGATCTTCCCTGACAACCCAGACTAAAGCTTCCCCTCTTCCTATGAGCTACTAATACCTTGTGATACCCTGTAGTACTATCACCTTAGCAGTTTTAATTCCAATAGTAGCTTGAGGGCAGAGACAGTGACCATAATAATTAAATGTACATATTTGGTGTTAACGATTTTACCTATGGTCAGAATCATGTTTTATTTTATTTTTCAAATTTTTTGGTTAATCCTAACCTGAGGATATCTTTTTCCATTGATATTTAGAGAGAGTGGAAGGGAAGGAGGAAAAGGAAGACAGAGAGAAAGAAACATCAATGTGAGAAGAGACACATTGATTGGTTGTCCCGCACACATGCCCGGGCCCCCAACTGGGGTCAGGAACGAACCTGCAATCCAGGTGTATGCCTTTGACCAGGAATTGAACCCAAGGCCCTTCGGTGTGCGGGCCAACACTCTAACCACTAAACTACACCCGCCAGGGCCAAAATCATGTTTTAAAACACTGTCTTGGCTAAAGAGACTTTTTATTGCATTTATTTTGGCACGTGTAAATTGTCTATTCATGTCTTTTTCCTAATTTTCAATTGGCTTTTGGTCCTTTGCTCTCCAGTATTTAAGACTTCTTTATGTATTAGATATCCGCCCCTTTGTCTGAGATGTATATCACAGTTTCTCCCAATTTATCAACTGTCTTTGTTTTGGTGTTTTTGCCATGCAGTCAATTTTTTAATATAGTCAAATTTATCAATCATTTCTTTTCCTGCCTCTGAGTTTTGAGTCATCATTACAAAGTTTTTCCCTAGACTGAGAGTAAAGTACCAGAAAAGTTTCATTTTTTAACATTTAAATCCCTGATTCATTTGGAGTTTTTCCTTATGATCTGTGGGAGGAATGGGTTTAATTTAATATTTTCCAAAGGGCTAATCAGTTCCCCAGCACTATGCTTCAGTGATGACATGCCACTTTTATCATGTACTATTTTCCATATTTTCTTGAATCTATTTGTGTATTCAGTTCCACCAGTCTATCTGGGCACATATATATGTAATAGTATCCCACTTGTAATTATAGTTTTACAGTCTGTTTTATTGTCTGATACCTGGTATGCCAGCTAAGTGGCACTCAAAGTTACTTTATTAAAATATATTTCTCTAGTAAGCAATGCTGAACTGAGTTTTTGAGCACAGTGGGTGAGAAGAGTAGTTTGCTTTTTTAACTTTTCTTTTGTGTTTGCTTCATTTAAAACTAACATTTTTTAACAGGGGCACTAGTTCCTTTTTTAAAAAAATACATCATCCATAATGTTAAAGCTTTAACTGCTGATGAACATTTTCTTTAGAAAAGAATGCTCTAAATATACAGACATCTCATTTACCTGACATTTTGGTAGGAGTTACACAAAAGTAATACCTATGATCCCAGTATGACAAAACTTGTTTACTCTTGGCCATTCTGAAGGTACCCACAGAGTACATTTATTTGTGTGCTTCAAATATTCAGAATGTGAAATATAATTTGATTTTATAATGAAAACTCGGGGTCAAATTTAGATATATTGACTCAATTTTATTATGCTATGCATAGGCTATGTGAAGGTATTTAGGGTGCCTGTTTCTAGAAGATTCCCAAGTGACCTTTCTTTTCTAATCTTTTATATTCTTTTACCCTATCTCTTCCTCTAATGTTAGGTCATCAGCTACTACTTCCTGATTCAATGACCTATATTTACCTCATGTTTTCATTTTCCAATGTGCTACCTTTAATCTACTTTAGTCTGACTAGGAAGGTAACTAATCTAATTAGAAACTCATAAAATAAGAATAAACTGGTTCAAAGTGAAGTAGATGCATTTTAAGTATGACTATCATGATATCTATTATGCTGTTAAAAGGATTTTTTTGGCTAGAACTTTCTAAATATAAGGTCTTCTAATTAAAGTTCTGCTGCAAAAGAGGAATTTACTCTTTGTATCCATGAAAGAGAGATTTCAAAAATGCAATAAGGAGGTGTCTCAAAATCATCCAAGACATCATGATTCAAATTGAATAGTTCTAATAGTTACAATGATCCTCCATATTTTGCAACCAACCCAGACTCCCTAAAAATTTCCATCATTGATGCTTTTACATCCTGGTATAAACCAATTCCCCTTCTAGATGACGGGGAGTTGTTTCAAATACAGGCATGCCTTGTTCTATTACGCTTCGCTTTATTGAACTTCACAGATATTGCAGCGTTGTTGTTGTTTTTTTGTGTATGTGTGTGTGTGTGTTGTTTTTTTCTTTACAAATTGAAGGTTTGTAGCAACCCTGAATCAAACAAGTCCATAGGCACCATTTTCCAATGGCATTTGCCCACTTTGTATCTCTGTATTATATTTGGTAATTCTTGCAATATTTCACATTTTCTCATTTTTATTATATTTGTGATCAGTGATTTCTGATGCTACTACTGAAATTGTTTTGGGATGCTAAAAACTCACCTATATAAGACAGCAAACTTAATTGATAAATGTTGTATGTGTTCTGACTGCTCCACGGACCAGCTGTTCCCTATCTCTCTCTTTCCTCAGGTCTCCCTATTCCGACACAAAATATTGAAATCAGGTCAATTAGTAACCCTACAATGGCTTCTCTCACTTTAAATCAAAAGCTAGAAATGCTTACACTTAGTGAGGAAGGCATGCCGAAAGATAAAATGGACCAAAACCTAAGCATCTTACACCAATTAGCTAAGTTGTGAATTCAAATAAAAAGTTCTTAAAAAATATTAAAAGGGTCAACAGTGAACACACAAATGGCAAGAAAGTGAAAACAGCTTTACTGCTGGTATAAAGAGTTTTAGTGGTCTGGACAGATCAAACCAGCCACAACATTCCCTTAAACCAAAATCTAATCCAGAGTAAGACCCCCCTAACTCTATTCAATTCTATGAAGGCTGGAAGAAGTGAGAAAGCTGCAGAAGAAATGTTTAAAGCTAGCAGAGATCGGGGAACCAAAAAACTCCTGTGACTTACTTTATTGGGATATCCGCTTAACCAGTTAATTGCCACGATATTTTGAATTTAATTAAAAAAGGTCCACCTCGTCCTCGCCAGTTTGGCTAGGACAGGTGAATAGAGCGTCGACCTGCGGACTGAAGGTCCCCAGTGGGGGGCGTGCAGGAGGCAGCCAATCAATGATTCTCTCTCATTATTGATGTTTCTCCCTCTCTCTCCCTCTTCCTTCCTCTCTGAGATCAATAAAAATATATTTAAAAATGAATAAATAAAAAAGGTCCACCGCTTGTGTCTATAGACACTTACGGCACACAAATGGTTAACTGTGGTAACCTGGACCCAAACATGCAGTACCTCCAAGGTGTGCCTGTACCTGTTCCCCCAAGTCCTCACTGCACGACTACATGCCTGGCTCTTCATAATCTAAATAACATGGCTCCCCAACACTCACTATCCTGACCTTATTTTTATGTGTTAAAATTTCTGATAAAAATCCCATCTGAACTTGATTCCACATAGCTGAAGGGGATTTATAAATCACTTTTAGGTAACTGAGGTACTTATATACTTTTTAAAAAGAAAGTGTATGATGTCGATCTAAGTCACAATCATTCTGGATTGGAGCATTTTCATAAGAAATTGGATAATAACTCACCATAGACATCTGAGGGTCAGGAACTTTCACTATCTCAAAGCTTGTTAAAATTGGAGATGACTCATCACCATCCTGGATTACAATGTAATAAATTTCCAAAATAAGAAGGTAAAAAAAATTTAACCAAATGGTAAAAACAATACATGTTAATGTACACTCCAATGTACTTTAATTCTATTTAATGAACATCCTTCCTTCCTTTCAAAAATTAATCTCCTTTCAACTACATTTTATTTTTTTTCAATTACATTTTTAAATAAATTATATTTTTACCTTTTGTTGCTGATAAAATATTTCAAGAAAAATAAAATATAACAATACAAATTTGTAATATAGTTTTCTTTTTAGAGATATGAAGTCTGGAAATCAGCAGATGGTTTTTGTCTTTTTTTCTAAAACTGTTTATAATGACAGGAGGTGAAAAATAATATGTTCAAATTGTCAAACTTAGAATAAGAAATCACAGAGCTAATTAAAATACAATACAATGGATCAACTAAAGGACTTGTATGCATGCATATAAGCATAACCAATGGACATAAGACACTGGGGGATAGGGGAGGCTAGGGGACTGTCTTGGGCGGGGGGATAAAATGGACACATATGTAATACCCTTTGTAATATTTTAAGCAATAAAAAATAAAAATAAAAAAAAATACAATACAATGGATAAGTTTCATCACTTGCAAAAACTACTAACTAGATGTTGGCAACTTCAAATAACCACAATTGAGTTTCACTCAGAAGTAGAATTATAAGCGTGGGGTTAATGTTACTCAGATTTATACACAGCTAGAGACTCAGCAGCATAGCTTCTCAGAGGGATAGCTACTCAACACAATGCAAACCTGAATAATGAGAATCAGTCCATTAATTCTTAAGAAATAAAGCTGTCTTATTTTGTTGATATTATCATTTTTTGAAAAATTTTGATCCAATTCGGGCAAGCAAGGTAATTTAGGATAATAAAATGTCACTGCATAAGAACTGGAAAAGACTGAACTAATTAAAGTCAAAATTCATTTTCTGACAATTGTATACCCAACATCAAATTTTCCTGTCAATTTCCAAGTGCTCCTATAATTTCAATTTTAGATATGTGCAACAAAATCAGGAGACTGAAGGAGGGGAAGTACTGTGACTTTACTTTAGCTCAGCAATTGAGTCTTAGAAAACCACGAATTCCCACAGCCATTGTTTAACAGGCTGATTCTTAGTCACAATACCAGGAAACACATTTATCAGCCCAACTGTGACAAGTAATCTTCACTAAGGCTATCTGTCACAAAAGACAGGTGACAAGAAAGTCTATTTCCATTAGATTCAATACACTGGCCCAGCAATCTTTACACTAAGTGGAAATATGACAGGATGGGTACACAGGCATTAATTTATGGACAATTTTTCAAGAAGCAGTAGAAAGGGGTCAAGAACCTTTTCAAAAATACTTGAAATTCTTCTAATTTCTGTTCTGTTATTATTTCATCTATTATCAAAACAGTCTTTCAAAAGATCCTTCACATCTCCAATGTTTTAAATTACCACCTCCATCAGTATGCTTTTGCAATATAAACTCCATATTGGGCAGGGAATAATACTTTTAACGAAATTACATATAGCATAAAGTATAAAATGTAATTTTATTAAAATGTATTGGTGACAAAATTTCATTCACCTACATTTCCCTTTCTTTATATAAGGTCGTTTTTCTAATAAGTTAATAAACAATGTTAGTCTATCTTTCTATTTCCTTTCCCCTCCCAAGAAATATCATTTATAAAATAAAAAGCTGAAACAAGTTAATGTTTCCAAATCTTTTACTAGAAAGAAAGGATATAAGCTTAAGGGGAAAAATATAATATAAAAATATTAACTTGAAAAATACCAGAAAAGTGATCAGAAATTAACTATACAAACCCTATACCTCCATTATAAATACATCCTTCAAATAATAAATTATAGTTATAAATACATATTTTTTAAATCACTTGTGACAGCTTGAACACACTAAAGTTAAAATGTGATTTAAAAGTGCTGCTTCTAATGAACATATGTACTGCATACTAGAGGGCTGGTGCACAAGTTCTTGCACCAGTGGGGTCCCTCGGCCTGGCCTGTGGGATCAGGCTGTAACTGGCTCTCCGACATCCCCCAAGTGGTCCCGGATTGCGAGAGGGCACAGGCCAAGCCGAGGGACTCCACTGGTGCATAATCAGGGCAAGGGAGGGACACGGGAGGTTGTCCAGCTGGGGAGGGACTGTAGGAGGGCTCCAGGGCGTGTCTGGCCCATCTCCCTCAGTCCCAATCGGCCAGACCCCAGCAGCAAGCTAACCTACCAGTCAGAGTGTCTGACCCCTGGTGGTCAGTGCACATCATAGCAAGCGGTTGAGCGGTCTTAGGATATCATTAGCATATTACACTTTGATTGGTTGAATGGAAGACTGGATGACCGGACACTTAGCATATTATGCTTTTATTATATGGGATAAGCTTAGCTATATACTAGAGAAAATATTTTTCTATTATGTCATGTATTAAAAGGCTGTCCTCATTTGTACTGATGTAAGCACTTGTCTTACTATTTCTACAATGATTGCAGATATCTGGTTTATGGTTTTTGAACTATGCATACAGTTACTTTTGTAGTACTTAAATAAAGACCCTTCAACAAGCATTTAAGACACAGGTGTTTTCTAGAGGCTACATGTCAAATCACACACCACTTTCTTTCATGTAATAAGCAGAGCAGAGGAAATCCAGAATTGCATGTTATCACTCAGCCTACTGATAACATTTTCTTAATTCTGTATATATTTTACATATAAATAAATGTAGATTTGTGAAGTCTTTCAGAAGCATACTTATGTTTGGAACACATATGAAATTCCATTACATTATATATAAATACTCAAGTAACAAGCAATCCTTAATGTTCAATAGCATACTACGTAAAAAAAAAAAAAGCATGATCCCCCTTTTTACTTTTCAAATGAATTTTAATTGTTAATAAAGCTATTGCTTTAATATCTTACTTGCCACTTTTCAGAATAATTAATCAAAAAGTTTTTGATCTCTTGCATATTTATTGAATTCTGTAACCCAGAACTGCATTCTATGAATGATCGGCTTTTGTAATCTTGGAGCTACAGGATGATTTGTGCATACATAAACAGCTGCGCCTGACAGCTGTCTTCTGCTATCCTGCAACCAAATAATTCATCTCAGCAGGAACAACAGTAATTTTTTTTAATGTTTCCCCTCCCCTCTACTTTAGAGACCATAACAGTTCCAAGGCAAATACCTTTTCATAATAAACAATGCCATATTCTTTATCGTCGCACTTGACACATCGAAACTCAACCATCAAATACATGAAATTAGAACTTCGTTTTTCACTCTAAAAAAAAAAAGATTTTTATGAAAAATAACCATTTTCAACATTCTCCTAAAGAATCAGTATGTATCGTTATTCCCAATTCAGTAACACATGGATCTATCAGGTACAACTTAGAATGTGACAAATTTTCATTTCGTTATTATAAATGCACTGTTTCATACAGCACTTCTATCTTATACAAAGCACCACTCTTTTATCCAGTACTGTCTACTAGTCACTTACAACTCTCTCCTAAACTTAATGACATCATTGGTTTATTCAGTAGTTTAGATTTTATTAAATAAAATCTTGATGATATTATGTATACACTGCATTAGAACTATTTACTTTCAAAAATAAGGATGTTTTGTACTTCTAACAATTGTAAGCAAAGAACAATTCATCCTTAAACCATATGACAATTCTAACTATATCAATTAATATAATTATGACAAAATTCAAAGTTAAAGTGTGAAAACTAAGGACTGAGGTCATTTGACCTAACAAATATAAACTTTATAAGTTTTTTAAAATTTATAAGTGATCTTGAGATGATGTGCAGGCATTTGTATATTTTTATCAAATTTTTTAAAGTATACTGGAAAACAGTTACTTCCACCTTAACATAAGAAATGTTGATTCTGTGTATAAACTTGTCCCCTTAAAAAAGCAAATACTGCTTAAAAAAGCAAAAATGTTGTTAAAAAAGTGAAAATCAAATGAAGTCTAAAAGGTGGTTAGTCTTGACCCAAAAAAGTTTTTTAAATAGTTATAAATCTACATGTATAAATCATATAAAAGTCTAAGGAGGTCACTTAAATTTTCAGCTTTATAAAGCATATTCTACTCGTATTCATACTGCATATAAATGGTTAAACACCACTAATTATTTTAAAAGGTAATGTCAGGATATAACTTTTACAAGTGTTCATTATAAAAATGAAAAATTTCTCTCTCTCTCTCCACCTACTGAACACTTTTCAAAGAACAGTGATCTGTAGAGGTCTCTATAAGCTAGGCATATCACAAAATTGATACTCCTCTTTCCTAATGTAATTAATATAACTGTTTTTTTTTTTTTTTCTGCTATCTTGATATTGAATGTCAGACCAGACATCTAGTATTTCAGTGTAAATACACAAAAAAGAAAAATAAGTGTTCTAACTTTCAGGAAGTTTCATTGACGTCATCTTTTAAATAAACATATTCTATACCAATACATAAAATCAAGAAATAAGTCAACTACTTGAACCACGCAACTTCATTAAGGGTGCAGAGTCCTATATGCAGTATGTAAAACAAGAAGTATCTAAGTGGGGAGAGAACTTGCTAATGATGATTTAAGGTAACTGAAATGAAGAGGTACCACTGTTGATAAATTTATATAATATTGACTTGAACTTGAACATAATGAGCTGCCAAATGGAGACAGAACACATAAATGAAGCATCAAACTCACAAAGGCTTCACTTATATAGTATTTAATACACTTGCTAAATCCACTACCTACTTATAACACTGAGATATAAGAAAGGCATATATCACATGTTTTCACTTATTAGTATAGAACTCCCTAAACTACACATTATTCAATAGCCCCAATAGATACCTGGCAATAAATCTTGTCAAAAAAAATTCTTGATTTAGATAGCTGAGAGAAAATATTTTTGAAAAACAAAAGGGATACAACCCACCTCATTTATCATTTCAATTTCTCTAAATGTCAATCTGTCCAGCCAATCTACTTTCACCATGTGTCCTTGTCGATGGGCTTTGGTGAGCTGCAGAACAAATATAATGAAGAAAATTTTAACCCAGACCTCACAGAAAGGAAGGCGGGGAGGGGACAGTGATGTCCATCACACCCTTTCAGAATCACACTGGAAATACTAGCTAATGCAATAAGAGAGATTGAGAAGAAAGAAAATTGTCTAAGTCAACAGATGACATGACCATCTATGTAGAAAATATGAAAGAATGTACAAAAAAAAACACCGCTATAACTAATAGCAATTATAGCTAGGTTGCAGAATATAAGGTTAATATACAAAACTCAATTAATTTCTTATGTACCAGCAATAAGCACATGAAATCTATATATATAAAAGCCTAAGCGACCCATACGACCAAACAACCGGAATGACCGGAGGACCGGCTGGTAGCTAGGACGGGCACTGACCCAGGCTTTGCTGCTGGGGCCCTGACAGCCCCGAATCTGGTTCACCTGCAGCCCGGACCCAGACAGGAAGGAGGAGGGAGCCCGATTCCTCACAGATCGGCCGTTGGTTAGCTTGCTGCTGGGGCCAACCTCCCGCGGTACCTCCCCCCAGCCGGCCGGTCCCCGTATCAGACCCAATTGCCGGCCAGATCAAGGGACCCCACCTCTGCACGAATTCATGAACTGGGCCTCCAGTTGAAAGTAAAAACACAGAGGTATGTAAATGATATCTCAATAAAGCTGTTATATTTTTAAGCATCATTTATATTAACACCCAGAAAAATGAAATTGGTAAAAATCTAACAAAATATGTAAAAGATCTATATGAAGAAAACCACAAAACTCTGATAAATGTAATTTAAAAAAAAACACACTAAACAAATGGAGAGATATTCCTGTTCATGAATAGGAAGACTCAAAATTATGTAAAGATTTCCAGTTTGATTAAATTTGATCTATAAATTTAATGTAATCCCAGTGAAAATCCCAGCAAGTTATTTCGCAGATAACAAAAGGACGCTAAAATTTACGTGGAGAGGAAACAATCCAGAACACTCAACATAATACTGAAGGAAAATAACAAAATTTGAGGGCTGACACTACCCAACATCAAGAATTATTATAAAGCTACAATAATCAAGAGAGTCTGGCATTGGTAAAAGAACAGACAAATGTACTAATGGAATAAAAACCCTGGAAATATATCCACATAACTATAGTTAAATAATCTTTGGCAAAGGAGCAGAAACCATTCTATGGAACAAAGTTACTCAGAGTTTCGTCCTATGGGATTTAATCAACATTATAAGGAAATGACATCATTTGAGGATCTGCTATATCTTAAATGGCTTGAAACAATTTTGAGACACCATTAAGTGTTAGAGCAGTATTCAATTAAACACACACACACACACACACACACACACACACACACACACACACGATCACAGTTTAAAAATATCTTCTATATACATAAAAGGCTAAGTGACCGACCGTCCATCCTTCTGTCCCTCCAACACATATGACGCACACTGGCAATTTAAAAATAAATGTTGACTCATGCATGCATGATACATGTAAAGCTCTTGCTAGTGCCAATTGCACACGTGTTTTAATTTTATAAAACTATATTATATATAGTATATTGACTATTTTGACATGTAATTTTTTGCAGTAACATAATTACTGCACGAATCTTTCTTCTCATTAATTCCCTTCTAATTAATGTGCACGAATCCGTGCACTGGGCCACTAGTCTATAAATAAATTCATACATGACACACATATTAATTTATTGAAAGCATATATCAAGCAACATATTAATGACGGTTATTTCTGGGCAGAGAGTTAGAGGTGATTTTTATTGTGTCTGTGCTTTAACCATCTTCTACCATGGTAGAAAATGTGTATTATCTTTGTAATAAGAAAAAATGTTATTTAAAAACTAAAGCTATTTTAAAGAACAATTAATTGTGCAAAGATTGCTGTTGAGAAAACCACCAAAAATTAGCATTTATTAAGATATGCCAAATAAAGTTATTTTACCTCATATTTTAAAACCCAAAGAATAAAAACCCATTTGATTAATATTACTTCACCATCTGAAATGAAAGCCAGGTACTAACACAATTGTTCTCTCAAATTATTTCTTACAAGGGCCTTTCATCTAGATCAGTGGTTCTCAACCTTCCTAATGCCGCGACCCTTTAATACAGCTCCTCATATTGTGGTGACCCCCAACCATAAAATTATTTTCGTTGCTACTTTATAACTATAATTTTGCTACTGTTATGAATCGTAATGTAAATATCTGATATGCAGGATGTATTTTCATTGTTACAAATTGAACATAATTAAAGCATAGTGATTAATCACAAAAACAATATGTAATTATTTATGTGTTTTCTGATGGTCTTTAGGCAACCCCTGTGAAAGTGTCATTCGACCCCCAAAGGGGTCGCGACCCACAGGTTGAGAACCGCTGATCTAGATCCAACTGAAGAACCATATAAATTAAGCAATGCTACCGTTTTTCAACATGTGGTTAATAAAAACTGCTATAATATAGAAATTTATAGGCTTTAGGCATCAAGCTTGCTCTTGTCAAGAAACTTTAACAGGAAAGTTACACAGTAAACGGATTTCTCCCCAAAAAGTAGCTATACAGTAGGGGATATTGTTGCAGATACACATAGGCTTTCTTAGGTAATCTAAGGGGGAAAATAATGACAAAGCTATATATTTTTTACTTGTTTTTTCTGTGCCACTTAAAAAAAACCAACATACAAATAAGCAGAAAAAAATCCATTCTGCTCTGTCACCAGACAGAAAACTTTTAGATTCAGAGAGCCTATGCAAATGTTCAAAATTCTCTCTTGAAGCATTTATAGGAATATATGCCCAATAAAAATGCCTGATATTGCCATTAGGTAAGACTATCTCCCACCAACCCCGTCACATAATCATACAGGACAGTTTCTTGAACTACCTCCTATCTTGTTCTTCTAAATTCCTTTCAGTTAAAGGCCATAATATAACTCTTTCAACTCTAACATTTCCTTGAGCCTAGACTACAACTGAGCTAAATTAATAAATAGTCATTGAACAGAACACCATTATCCCTCAGCTAGTCTATTTGCACAATGCAATATGGTTCACTCATAAATTTCTATTATTAAAAAGTATAATTCTCCTCAATAAACATTAAGACACTGAGTTTTATCTGTATCAAATAAAATGCAAGCAATGCAGTAATTAATAATTCAAGACAAAATGCAGCTGTATATAAGAATTCACTTGAACAACTACTGAAAGTCAAAAAGGAGTTGTACGTGTCTCCTAAGGAATCTGCACACGTGCCTGTGTATTTAATTCTTAGGTAGCATAGAAGTGCTTTCAGCTTCCTGATTAATAAAGTCTTAGCCACAAATCTTCAATTTTACTTTGAAACTTTACATAGAAATCTTACTCAGGAAGAGTAGTCTTTGCCTCATAAAAGTTGCATTCAGCTAAACTTCTCAGAGATTAATCTAGTCTTAAAACCATGTTACCTTCTATTTTTTTCTGGCAGGAATTATAGCTGTAAAGACAGACATAAATCAATATTATTTCAGGGTTCAATCTTTCCCTCTCAAACTAATTGTCTACTTGCTACCATTAATTTCAAGAAAAATCGAGAAGTTTAGACAGTCTCAGACAACAGTAAGCAAACCAAAATGACTGATAGAAAAGATTCTACTATGTATCATCAGGAATACATTTCTAAGAGATTCCCAAATCCTTCTTTAATGACAGAAAAAATGGCAACATACAACCAAATAAGCTATGCTTATAAAAGTTACACATATTATTTAGTAAAAAAAACCTGTAGCTAAGAGGTAATTTCGATGTCAATGTTGCCACTAAGCAAGTTTCATAGTTTGAATAATTTCAGCATCTGTCATCAGAATCTGTTATTATTTTCATTTACAAACATTGAGAAAGAAAATAAAACAAAATGAGACTTTTCTGTCCAATTTAGTCCAATACTGCATTACATATATTGTTTATACCATAACTAGTATCAGTTCATAAGTGAACTGGTTGGAAGTTAGAAAAATAAAGATTATCAAGTTAAATCATTATCACTATGGAAATACTGACTCTTAGGTGAGGAGACCTAATCAAGTACAGATATTACAAAGAATAATAACTTCCCTAGAAAAGCCCTAACATAAACTCAAAACTATCTCTAGGGACTCAGTATTATATTCTGAAAATAGTAAACTATGTCATTAAAAGGAGGAAAAAAGATTTTTAATAGGTCCTACTAAATAATGTGTTCTATTAAATTACTTTTACATGAATGTTTTCTCACATAGCTGCTTCAAGGTAGAAATGTATTCAGAACCCAAGAAGAGTACCCTTAACGTGCTATACTATGAACAAACTGCTCTGAGGTTGTTTCTTTTTCAAAATAGCTAAAAAATGTTAATAATGGTATAATTATGATTCTTATAAACAGGGAGAATGGAGCCCAACTAACCACACTTCTTCAATGAAAAATATTCACAAGTACAGAAATAACTGGTTATTCAATGAGCCAGTGTCAGAGCTATAAATCAGGTCTTTCGACTACCAATCTTTCTACCCAGTTATAATGTAACATTACTATTTAAATCTTCCACCAGTTTTGATAGTTCTATTAATTTTAAAAGCATAAAAAGAAAGGTAATGCCTCTATTTTTCAAAACATCTCCTTGGATAATCCCATGTTCCCCATTTCTCTAAAATCTAACTATAGAATACATACAGAATTTAAAATCCACATAAATCATCAATTTGATAATCTATTCAAGTATTTGTAACAAAAAATGATGCCCAGCTTATAACAAAACTCATTTCTTAAATCATATTTCTAAAAGCCAAAACATTTGCCAACCTTATTTTCCAATTAATCTTTTCCCTTTTCTAGATTCATCTAAATGAACTGAGTAAAAGAGACTTCTTTACCAATACTAACTTTCTAGCTGTTCACACAAAGAAACTAGCAACTGCTTTCTCAGTGTGGCTCCTAAAATGTTTTTATAAGTGCATCAGCATCTGTTCTTCTAAGTTAAAAAAAAAATTGATTTGAGAAAGAGAAGGGAGAGAGGGAGAAAGAGAGGGAGGGAGGGGAAGGGGGAGAAGAAGAGGGAGAGGGAGAGAGAGAAAGGAAGAGAGAGCTTTGTTGTTACACTTACTTATGCATTTATTGGTTGGTTCTTATATGTACCCTGACCAGAGATCAAACCCACAACCTTGGTATATGGGGACAATACTCTCTAAGCAACTGCTAGGGCAGCATCTGTTCTACTTGACTTTTATCCTTAGTAAAGGGTTCTCACATGTCTGTACCCTGAACTTCCTACCATATTGTGCAGACAGCAGGTTCAAGTAATCCTGCAACTAGAAAGATAATGTCAAGAGAGAAAGTCCTTTTAACACTTCCTTCAAAATGAGAGAAATATCTCACACAACTTTCTGGTTCCTTCAGGGAAGCTCATGCTTGATGGTTCACTAAGAATCAGCAGTCTCCTGAAGACTAACTTAATTTCCAAGGTATTGAAAAATGGTGTCCTGTGTAGTAGACACAAATAACCTGATTACCAGGAAGACAATAATATGGTTACTCATCCATTACAAATTAGTAAAATGGCACTCTAGGCCAGTGCTATCCCATCGCACTTTCGGCAATAATGAAAAGATTCCATTTCTTCATTGTCCAATGCGTAGCTTCTAGCCACATGTGGCTAGTGAGCACTTAAAGTGTGATTATGACAATGTAACTATGGTAACATAAAATTCTGAATTTTATTTAATTTTAATGAACTTAAACTTAAATTGCCACATGTGAATTGTGACTATTACAGCTCTAAACTGTAAATAACCATTTGAATTGAATGGCATGAACCTTTCTCAATATAACTAGTTATTTCTGGATGTACTAGAAAAATCCAGCTCGCACTGCTATAAAATGAGGTCTGGAGCCTGAACCAGAGTGACCCCATGCAGGCAATGTGAAGGCCAGGCTAAAACATCCCATCTTACACAACTTCACTGTACCAATGCTCACTTACACACTGTCCAACATTCCCCCACCTATCTGCATCACTCAGACCACAAAACATTTTTCATCTAGTTGTTACTTTCTCTTTGCGGCCTCTTAATCAAATTGACAGAAACTAAAGCACATTCCAAAGGCATCAAGCAGAGATGCTAAAATGAAAAGGAGACAGTAGAGAAGCATGCTTTTGCACTAACCTTTCATGTCTAAAGACATGGATTCAAGTATAAATCAAACACTAAAGCTTGGTAGTCACATCCAAAACCCCAGGTGGATATGCATCCTAGTCATAAAACTCTTAAAATATGACAAGCTGAAAAACAGAGCAGATGGGAACAATGGGCAGATTTGCTCAAGGCCACAATCATTAAAAGGCTGGGTCATGGACAATGAAAGTGTAATGAATGTCCCAGAAGTCTGGCCTTTATTTTCACAAATCAATTAAAACAGAAATATTTATTTATTTATCCCCCCCCCCCCAAAAAAAAACCCCAAAACAGAAATATTTATATTAATAAAAATTATTAGGGCAATTTAGAGATGGGAAAGAGAAAATAATGAGGGAAATGTGGGGGTGGGGGGGTGCGATTGTACTATGTTAATTTCTTCCTGTTCCCAGTAAGTCTAAGAAATCCAGTTATATAAACTAACTAAACCAAAGATTATTCAGTTTTGTCTCCTTTTCTCACACTCATTTTTCCTCAAAGGAAAACTACACAAAATGATGTACAATCATTAGAGAGGTTAATTCCATTAAAATTCTTCTTCTGAAAGGATTTGATTTTTAAATTGTTAAACCTAGAAGTAAGGCTTTTAAACTTCAGTTATTCATATTGTGGTTATAATTCTATTTGCATAGCTGAGCAATAAATCAGAATAAGAATATTTAATCCAGCTTGGGCTTGAGGTTCTTTGTTTAATAATCATCTAACACTATCTTTTCACAGGCCATTTAAATAGTTCATCTTCATTTCACAGTCGTCTTGTGCCATTATCCCCAGGCAGTCAAGACTTAGGCAGTACTATAACTGAATAAACTTTCTTACATTACAGTTTGAAAACTGTCACTATGCTATTTATTTTGGCTCGTGGGTACAATGCACGATAACTATGCTGTCATATTATTAAGATTTATGTACACCTTGTTACTCTTATACCAAATGCCTTCTCAACAATTAGAAGCAGGCATAGTAAATTCACTGGCTGGAAAATCAAAAGTGCAACAGGAAACAAACCATTCCGTTCTATCCCCATAAACCTCATCTATTTGTATACTCATTTCTTGACTTAAAGTGAGAGTGTGTAAAATATAAAGTATTACATCTACAATTTCTGTTCCTTTTGTATAAAAATAGAATCATACGCATACATCTGCTTTCCCAGTTTTTAAAAGTGTATTGTACCAAAAAGTATCTTCAAATAGTATTTAGCATAGTGCTTTGGGAACAGATATTGACAAAATAAGTTATTTTGTTCTGACTTAAGCTCAGATTTGAGCTTAGCTTTTGTATTTCTAAATAAAAACACTTCATTAAAACAATTTTGAAAGATAAAGTCTTCTTACAAAATTCAGTCTTCTTACAAAAACAGGAGTGGGAGTGGAGTGAGGACAATTTAGACTAAGTAATCTTCAATTCCAAACAACGTAAGGTTCTCTAGCATGTAACACTTGGCATCTTTAAGACTATTTCACCAAAAAAAAGTTCATCTTGAAAATATCACCAAAAAGTGCCCATTCTCAATCTGATGGGATTACAGACACAAAAAGCCACATAATGTATGATTCCATTTGTATGAAATGTCCAGAATAGGAAAATTCACAAAGACATAAAGACTAGAAGTTCCAGGGGCTGGAGGGAGGAGGGAATGGGAAATGACTGCTATTGGGTACATGGTTACATTTTTGATGAAAATGTTCTGATATTAAGTAGTGGTGATGATTGCATACCTCAGAATTTACTAAAACTTAAGTTACTGTATACTTTCCAAGAGTGAATTTTATGATATATGGATTATATTTTAATAAAGCTACTATTAAAAAATTAAATCTAAATTAAAAAAAAAATAATCTGACAGAATTCAAAAGGTTAACTTATACTACAATAGACATCATTCAGAGCTTCCCACCAGTTGGAAAAGTTTATATTTTTACCTTGGCAAGGCGGCTCATCTGATCTTCTGAGAGTGTACTGCTTGTTCTGCCAGGAGTTTTTGTGGGTTCTGACCCATCTGCTTCTACATTAGGCCAGACTTTCAAGTCATGCATCCCTTGACGAAACATGCTAGGCAAAAAGAGAATGTTCAGGGTAGAAGTAAATTAATGCAGTTCATTACAGGAAATTTTTAACCCCTAAAGAGAGAGAATTCCACACTAGGAAATGCATGTCTCTCTTGGCAACCTTTAAGCCTCCAGTGAGTTGCAATGCAATTAACTAAGCAGCTAAACCCATATCACACTGCTTTTCACATGCCACTCTTTTCTCCTCAAAGCAGTCAGACTTTTACAGAGATCCTAGAGGTAGACTGGACAAATAGAAGGATCCTAATGGGCCATACACCCTTCATAACTTCAGTGGAGATCTTGAAATAATGGAAACCAAATTGCGACCCAATGAAGGAATGTCCCATTTACAATGCTGAAACAAAATTTAAATAATTACATAACTGTCTACTTTACGTGACAAGTCAGCATAGTAGACTGCACAGTCAAACTGCTGGGGTTTGAATCCCACTTGTGCCATCTATTCCCTAAGTGACCTTGGGTAAATTGCTTAACTTCTCTGTGCCTCAGTTTCCTAATCTATAAAGTGGGATTATAAAGATACCTGAATCTCACAGGGCTATTAGAAAAATTAAATACATCAGCACAAGTAAAAAGTACTTCAATAGTACCTGCCACATAATAAGTATTCAATAATGTTAACTAACGTTATCTTTTTCACTAGGTATAGGTTGATTCTCCTGTCTTCTTTTCTGTAAGAGCAATGCCTGATGGGAAATACAACAGTGGATTTATACAAGAAAAAGTTCCCATGTCTACAAAATATATAATCAGAACTTCAATCTAAGCTTGATCATCTGCTTTAAAGTGAAACACTTTATAACCTTTGATTGTCCTGTTTCCTTCAAAAAACTACTAAGATGTAGAATACAGGTTGAACAAACCCATAAAGCAGTGGTTCTTAACCTGTGGGTCGCGACCCCTTTGGGGGTCGAACAACCCTTTCACAAAGGTCGCCTAAGACGATCGGAAAACACATATATAATTACATATTGTTTTGGTGATTAATCACTATGCTTTAATTATGTTCAATTTGTAACAATGAAATCGGGGGTCACCACAACATGAGGAATTGTATTAAAGGGTCGCGGCATTAGGAAGGTTGAGAACCACTGCATAAAGTACGTTTGGAAAACTGTGTTTCTATAGATATGCTACTGTCGTTTCTGAGTGGTTTTATTTTATTTTATTTTTTTATGGGGGTGGGAGGTAAAAATAAAGAAAGTCTTCTGTTAATATGTTCTTTCTTTTTTAAGTGTATGGTGTTTTTTTTGTGTTTGTTTTTTTAACAAAACTGTTCAGACAATATATCTCCTAAAATAGCATCGCCCCAAAGCTGAAAGAGCAATCTGCCAATTGCGGTGGAAAGAATAAGACTGTAAGTGTGTGCAGGTGAATAGGCAAGCCCAACGCATTTTGTTCTCACATTAAGTATTTTTTAAAGTAAGGCACACGTTGCATATATATTGATGTATTTTCTTGATCTTTAAAAACATTACACTTTAAAAGTTTTACATACATTTTAAAAACTATTATTATCACGCTTTCACTAATGGAAACTTTCTTCACAGATTTTCCTGGAGTAATAAAGAGGATTTTCACTGAACATTATGCAAAGTAATGATGCCATAAACATTTAGACTGGGAACTATAAAGGATAGCTGCAAGCTCATGAGCACAGTAAGATTAAAGACCATATCTGTTGCAAGGTTTAGCTCTAAGGTTGGCAGTAAACAGGTAATATCCAGCAACCATATCTGTGAAAGTTTACCTTATAGGCCCAAAACAAATGCACTGACTTGTAGTAAAGAACCAAAAATCTTAATATTTACCATGTTAGAGATTTCAAAAAAAATTTACATTCCAAAAAACACACATATACAAGCCTTTCATAAAGTTCATTTTCATTCCCTTTCAACCGAGTATTAGATTCAACATCAAGCAGACCTGCTTAGACTCTAAGAAACTAGGTACAGTGAGGCAGCAACATCACTTTAAATGATTACCCTTAAATGTACCTTCAGAAACAAAGGATGGTCTCCCTCCTTTTTCTCCACCTCTCTATACCCCAGTGAATACTTTGACTGGCTGAACTTAAATAAAAAATAAGTATGTTTGGCAGGAAGTCAGTTTACTAAATGATTTAGGTGCCTTGGGATGGATCTGGAGAGAAGATTTAAGGACAGGGGACATGGAGGGCAGGGGTGGTAGCAAGTGACTCAAATGATAAAGTGAACGTATTACTTTCTTTTGACACTAATGGAAACTTTGTAGAGAGTTACACAGCCTCCAGGTGGCAAGCCAGAAGATGCTCAGAGCATCCTGTCCACTTGGGAAATTAAGCCAAGTAGGCAAGACAAAAGGAACAGCACAGCAGGATCCCCTTCAGATGCCTGCAGAGGCCCCAGCAACAGCTGCTGCTGTTGCTCCAGCTCCCATGCCAAGCCACTGCAGCAGCAACTGCCCAGACTTCCGAGTTCACATTTGGAAAAAACATCTGCAAGAGAAATCTGCAGCTTGCCTGTAGTTCTTTGCCAATTCAATCTAACGATCAATCCATTCCTCACTTCCTTAGAAATCTCACAAGCTAGACATTCAGAATGAGGACAATTTATTCTAGCCATATTCTAACAGATTAGTCTTTCAATTATTAATTACACTATTCTCCAAGAAGTACTGCTTCACACTGACTCAAGTATACAAAACAGATATTGATAGTCACAAGACTCCAAATACTATAATGCAACTATTAGGCATTTTGAGGAACCCTTTTAAAAGCTATGAAGGCCACACCAGGACTACTTAGGGAACAAGGTGGGGAGCGTGTGGTGTTATTTCATTGTTTACGAAACATTTGAGGAAACTACCACTTGCCTAAGTCATGAGAATGTGGAGGCACATGGCATGACTTTTAATGGCAGGTGGAAGAAAGTTGCACAGGCTTCTTGCCAAGGTCACCCAGAAGCCTCAAGCTGCGTTCTCTCCCTGGATGTCAGCAGCACCACACACAGCTGTGCAGCAGTACAGTCCATTCTGCACTCTGCTGTAGCCCCTGAACATCCTGAATGTCACATTCCTCCACAATCCAAAGCTGCACAGGAAGGGCAAGGCCATGCTAGGGACTCCCGGGGCTTGTCTAACATGAAACCAAGTTCACCCCCAAGGAAAGGCCCAGGACACAGAGAGAAAAAGGAGGCATTTTAATTGCATAATAGGCTTTCTTTGAATTCCTTTTTCTGAGATGAAGGTCAGTAGAAGCATCAGCCTAGAGGAAATAGGACAGGTTTTTCACATTTCTTCCCCACTGCTCAGAGTATCCACAGAGCTCTATTACTACCTAATGTTATCGTTTGAATAAATGCCATATAGGTGTAAATGAAATATTGATGTAAAACCTTATCTTTACCTTAAATAAAGTGACAGTGAGCTGAATATCCCCTTATATCTGACTAGACATAGACCATTCTAATTAAAGGATTTTTTTGGTTTAGGTATTATATACATATTTGCAAAGCAAACAGATTTACTATCATTTGTGTTTCTTAGGGGTTTTTTTTGCTTAAAGTTGTAATATTTAGTAGCATAGTTATTTTCATTGTATTTATTTTTGTCAGTACCCACCAAAGTTACATAACACTTATTTTCCATGTACACCAAGATATTAAAATTTTGCTTTCAATTAAATGGAAGTAAAAAAAGTGAGCTGGTTTAAATAAAAATACCAAGTAAATAAGACTGAGTGTATTTAATATAGATATATGCAGGAATTCTGAAAGTGGTAAGTCAATGACTCATTTTTGAGAAACCCTGCTCTAAGAGAGGTAATTTCTCAGAATCAGAGCTGCTCGCTAACATGTTTCATTTGTATTTAACATCTGATGTGTTCAGAGAAACCAAGTTTGGGGCAGAAAATTGCCCAAGGAGCCTGGAATAGCTTATCTGCCAAAAAGCACAGAAGCTACTTATGACTACAAAGGACATGGGTCAACTTGAAGGGACTCTGATTGACCAAAAATGGGAGTTTCTGAACATTATAAAGCTTTAAGATATCAATGGAAACATTTCAAAAATGTTTAAGACTACAAGTTCATGAAAAAACTTAAAGACAAAAAACAAAAATCAATTACTTTTGCAGGTTACCAGGGTACCAACTCATTCTTAAACTTGATAAAAGATCAAGTTCTTCAAAGAAAAATTCCAATATACTCAGAAAGAGTAATAGAATATCAACAAAAGGGATAGAAATATAGGTTGTGTTTTTTCACAATAAACTTCTATTATCTGCAAATCTTTAAAAACAGAATTAACAACTGTTCTATTGTAGTCATTACCACTATTAGCAAGTTAATGCTTTTTAACCCTGCTCATTGTCCTTTTTATCACTATTATGACAAAGCAGAAAAACAAAGCCCTCACAGTATATGCCACATAGTCTTTTTTCCTAAAAGAAAGATTCTAATTTCCAATACTATTTTCTAATAGGAATCACGTTACCAGTCACTAACAATAGAGTAATATAAGTTGTGTGTCTTAATGAATCTATCTGTATATCCTATACGAAATTCAGTCTCAAGAATTATGGAATCATGTACCAAACATGTACACACACAGAGAACCAGACTGGCATGAACTTCCCAAAAAGAAAAAGGATGAGAAACTACAACATCCCTAAAGATTAGAAGAGAATGCTTACCCGTATTTTCCAAAGAGCGAAACCGTTGTCCCACCCACAGGCACTGCCTTTCCTGGCCCATACACGTCCCATATAGTCAGGGCCACTTGGGCATTCCGGGGCAGGTCGGGGTACTTCACAGGCAGTTTGAGCCATTCATTCCAGCTATGGAAATAAAGTCAACATGAGCATATCCTATATAATAAAATCCTAATATGCTAAGCATCTGGTCGTCTGGTCAGCCATTCAACCAATCAAAGTGTAATATGCTAATGATATGCTTAGGCCACTCAACTGCTTGCTATGATGTGCACTGACCACCAGGGGGCAGATGCTCTGACTGGTGGGTTAGCTTGCTGCTGGGGTCTGGCCGATTGGGACTGAGTGAGAGGGCTGGACATGCCCTGGAGCCCTCCCGTAGTCCCTTCCATCTGGCCAACCTCCCCCATCCCTCCCTGGCCCCAATTTTGCACTGATGGGGTCCCTTGGCCTGGCCTGCGCCCTCTCACAATCCAGGACCTCTCAGGAAATGTCGGAGAGCCGGTTTCAACCCAATCCCGCAGGCCAGGCTGAGGGGCCCAATGGTGCATGAATTCATGCACCCGGCCTCTAGTATTATATATTTAAAACTTTCTTTTAAATTAACAAACCATGCCAGAAGATTTGGCCAGAAAAAATGCCTCAAAGATTAAGTTAGTACTACAAAAAATAATGCGAGTTACCTTAGTTTCGCTCTAAGCACCTTCAATTTTAAATATAGACTATATGAAAAAGTTAAAAAAAAAAAAAAACTCATAAAAAAACACCGGTAAAAACAAACAAACAAAAAAAAAACAACACCGGTAAATCCTTTAATAAAAAAACTCAAGGCAATATCACTAAGACACAAGAAATATGATAATAGCTAATAATAATCTGGGAAACCACTTAAACCTGGTTATAACCAAACTTGTTTTGAACCAAACTGTGATTTCGTATAAGCATTCCCCGGAACACAGGTTTTGTAGTATGAAAAGAAAAAAATCAAAATTACTGCTTTAACGGGTTTGGCTCAATGGATAGAGCGTCCGCCTGCGGACTGATAGGTCCCAGGTTCAATTCTGGTCAAGGGCATGTACCTTGGTTGCGGGCACATCCCCAGTAGGAGGTGTGCAAGAGGCAGCTGATCGATGTTTCTCTCTCATCGATGTTTCTAACTCTCTATCCCTCTCCCTTCCTCTCTGTAAAAAATCAATAAAATATATATTAAAAAAAAATTACTCATAATACATTCAAAGAGATGCTGAGGATAACAAGGCCCTACAATGTGCCTCAATAAGGCAGAAAACAAAAGCCTTAGAAAGGTTGAAGTAGACTATCTACTACTTTGTAACATGAAGTTACCAGACAGCTCTGGACAGCAAGGTCACATTTTCTTACGTGAGTTTTTTCTATCCCTCAAGTTATTTCATTAATACTGATAATGCTTACTTATTAGTTTTTTTTATGCTTTTAAAGAATGTTTATATATATGATTTTCCTAAAGAATGTTTGTTCTTCATATAGTAATGACAGCACAGCTGGGGGTTTTTGTTGTTATTTTTTTTACTCTTTATTCAGCTCAGCATATTGAACAGAACTTTCAAAAACTTAAAGGACAAATAATTTATATCCACCATATAAATTCAAGGAACTACAGGAAAATCAGAGTTGGCTAGCCATTTAAAAGAGAATCAGTCATTCTTTTCTTCCATAAAAGTCTCGAAAAAATAAATCACACACCTGAAAAAGCTGGAGGAACAAACTAATTTAATTACTATCCACAGGGTGGACTACGCTGAAAAGGAAAATACCAGCAGTGGCATTTTCTGCCAATGAACAAACCAGAGGTTAATTAACACAGGCTACAACTAAAGAAAGTCAGCCAGTGACAATATCCAAAATAAACTGTGAAAATTCTCACGTCTATATTTTGTCCTTTGAGAAGGAAACAATATATATAATCAAGCAATCATTTGCCTTAAATCTTTTGCACTCTAACCCCAGGCTTTAATGAAAGCAATGGTACTTGAACCTGTTTTATATACTGGGCTTCTGCAGAAGAGTTCTTTTGAAGAAAATGAAATCTACAGCTAAAATACAGTTTGAAAACTGTTCTACATATTTTAGGAATTCTGGAAAGATCTGGGCAGACATCGGAAAATTGTGTTTTTTGAATATCATTTTGTTCTCCACCTCCCCATGCATCATCCCTATACCAACCTTCATTAAGCTCAAGACTAAATTCACCTAATAAAACTTCCACAACATTGCGAGATGTAAAGCCTAATTCTTTTTTTTTTTTTTTTAAATATATTTTATTGATTTTCTACAGAGAGGAAGGGAGAGAGACAGAGAGCTAGAAACATCGATGAGAGAGAAACATCGATCAGCTGCCTCCTGCACATCTCCCACCGGGGATATGCCGGCAACCCAGGTACATGCCCTTGACCGGAATCGAACCTGGGACCTTTCAGTCCGCAGGCCGACGCTCTATCCACTGAGCCAAACCGGCTTCGGCCTAAAGCCTGATTCTTGATGGTCTAATCCCACCCACCCCTACCCTCACAGACCACTGTACTAATTCTCTAGTCTGATTAATAGACTCCTAAATCCCGTTTGAATTTTTAAATTATGTTAGGCTGTTAGTATATGTGTCTCTCTAAAGCCATTTTAAATCCATCATGGAACAAGAATATTTAATTTTTTAAAAATTAAATCACTTGCCTACACAATAATTTTCATATATAAAATTTTAAAATTTGCAGAACTCCACATCTAAAAATGAGAATTTTACCTTAAGTAAGTGCTTATAGAAACTGATGTCTGTGCAAAGTAAAAAGCCTATCCTACTGTTACCTTACCTAGCATGAGTTCTTTTTTTTTTTTTTAGTACTTTACTATTTATTTATTTATTATTATTATTATTATTGATTTTAGAGAGGAAGGTGGTGCGGGAGAGAGACACACACACACGCATAAATTTGTTGTTCCACTTACTTATGAATTCTGTGGTTAATTCTTGTATTGTTGCTTCAAAATAACATTGGGTATAGATAAAACAAGATTGGCCTCGAGTGAGTAATTATCAAAGCTGGGTGATGGAGCCTTGGAAGCTTATTATACTCTACTTTTACAGATTTGAAAATTTCCAGAATAACAAGTATATATACAAATATATACGTGTGTGTGTGTGTGTGTGTGTGTGTGTGTGTGTGTGTGTGTATGTGTGTGTGTGTGTGTATTCACAAAAAGACTACTAAAGAAATTACACTATTTAAATAATTGGTTTCAATGCAGCCAGATCACCAGAGCTCAGGCTTCTGCTCTCTCTGAAAAAGACTTCCCAGCCTGATGAGCTGTGCTTGGTGAACAGAGGGTTGTACCCTCAATACCAGAGCCTGGCAGTCCATGTGGCACACCTTACCTTCCATGAGCACTGTGGGCATAAGCTCCTTCTGGAGGTACAACTGTGTATCCTGCAGCTAGCCTACCAGGGTACTGAACAACACTCATGGACTGAGCATTAAAACTGCTCCATATAACCTATCAAATAAGAAGTATCAAGAGGTTAAATTAAGGACTCATGATATTGTGGGTTCTGGAAAAACAGGAACTTCATGTTCACTAAATGTCCCTTGCACCCTGACAATGGTTTGCTAATGTACCATCTCAATAAAACATGAGCTTAAAAAGTTGGTTTCAGCCCTAACCGGTTTGGCTCAGTGGATAGAGCATCGGCCTGCGGACTGAAAGGTACCAGGTTTGATTCCGGTCAAGGGCATGTACCTTAGCTGTAGGCACATCCTAGTAGGGGGTGTGCAGGAGGCAGCTGATCGATGTTTCTCTCTCATTGATGTTTCTAACTCTCTATCCCTCTCCCTTCCTCTCTGTAACAAATCAATAAAATATATTTTTTTAAAAAAAAGTTGGTTTCATACAATAAAAATGTGTTTTTGATTTGGGGGTCATTTTGTGAATCAGTCAAGTTCTCATAAAAATATGTCAATATACTGAATACAAACAAATTTACTTCCATCTTAACTATCTAGGTCAACCAATCCTTACAAGTATTAAATAATTTTTTAAATTCCTCTGTAATCACTACTAAATCATACTTACAACATCTATAAAGACTTTGGAGAACAGTCTGGAACTCACCATATGCAAGAAAACAACTTACTTCCATCTTGTACTAAATGCCTTGTAGGATGTTCTCACTGGCAAGGCCAGAGGCTTCCCTTCTGCAAAAACTTGACAAGTAACATAAAGGTCAGAGCAGGTCTCCTGGTACAGTCCTGAAAACTTCAGCATTGGGTCTTCTAGAACAGCTTTATAACTCTTTTGTTCTCTCTTCCCTTCCAAACTCCCTCTGGAAGTATAAGAACAATAATGTTTAGACAAACATTTTTTAAGCATATAGGCAACAAATACCAAAGTTTATGATTGCATCACAGTGACCTTATGCTACCTAAATATTTTCCTGTATATGAAGTTAAAGTTACTTTTACATCTAGTAAAGGAATCTAAAACCCTAACACACTTATAATCATTTCTATCTTCATCAATATATTTCCCTATCTTAAGCTTCTTAATTTCAAATCCTGTCATCAACGCTTGGTCTACCTTCCAGACATCACCAGCTTTCCAGGCCTTAGTTTCACTTTTATTAATTTCAAGTTGAACACTTATTTATCTATTCTTTCAAGACATTTACTGTACTAGGCATAGTGGCCCAGAAATGAAAGATAAGATAAACAATACAGCACTACAAGGAAATGTTAAGTCCTTGTTTCTGGAGTGAAAACTTACTTTTACTTGCATATTCTTTTTGTATTCTTTCAATTTTTTTTATGTATTTACTACGTGGATGTACTATCTGATCATTTCTTTAAATTAAAAGTGATAAAAGATAAGCACAGGAAACTATGAAAGAGGTAGAAACACCAATTAGAAATCAAAATTGTAACCATGTCCTCATTTTATAAATGAGGAAGCAGGAACTCAGAGATCAAGGATCACAAAGTTACAGAGCTGAGAATAAAAACCAGGGCAGACAAGCTTCAAAGTCAATGTTCTTCCCACCACAGAAAGACACTGTACATCAAAAAGTCTGGGAGCTTGGGGGCTCCCAGTCCCAGAAAGATAAAAAAGAACAGCACAGACCAAAGCAAAGAGGAAGATGGTATGTTTGGAGAACTTCAAGTTGTTTGGTATAGCTAAAGCATAAAGCTCATGCAGGAAGAAGCTAGAGAAGGAAAAGTAGGGGGGCAATGAGGCTAAGCAGTCACCAAATTCAGTCTAATGCCTTACACAATGAACATTCAAAAATCTAACTGAATTATTTGATATGAGAGTACTACAGTCGGATTGGTATTTATGACACCTTTGGCAGGAGTTTCAGAACCTAATGGAGAGGTGTAACAGAAAGCAAGATCAGTTAGATTTTCATTAAAAATTATGAAGGAAAAAGACAGGCTAAGGCTAGAGCAATGGTATAGAAAAGATATTTAGCAAGTAGATTCAAGACAACTTGTGAATGATTTAATAGAGAAGGTAAGAGATGATGTCCCATGACTCAAATTTTTGTGTCTTAAAGTGGATGAATGTTGCTAATAATCACCAAAACAGGGTGAGACAATATAGGAAGTTCAGAGTTAGAGGGGTAGGCTAATGATGTGCTCAATCTGGGACAAGTTACTTTTAAAGTGCTTGGGGACATCTAAAGTGACCGTGTCTTATACGCCATTTAATATTCAATTACAGTGCTAAGAAAAGGAACATCAAAGTGCAAATTGTTATTAAAACCATAGAAATAGATTAAAAGGCGTGGGGAGAAAAAACAGAATTAAAGAATTCACTATTCTCTGATTTTATGATTCTAAAGTGACACTGCCAGCCAAAATAACAACAATGACTGTCTGAGAAGCTAAAAAATGGTTAGTACCAAATTTTACCAAACTTCTGATTAATGTTTTATCTTTGCCTTGAAATAGTCAATGTGTGTATCTGTTAATAATGGATCATTTTTTTTGTTGTTTTTCTTTCCTTTTAAAGTTCCAGAAACACATTAATATGTCCAAGAAATACTGAGAGGAATGAGACTGAAGGAAAAAGCCCTGTACCAGATGATGGTATACGTACAGGACCTGTATAAGCATCTAGGGGAGTCTGATGCAGAAATTACCTTAAATGGGTGTATAAAGTATTATACAAATGGGCAGCGTAGTTGTTGACATATTGTTTTTACCATCACCCAAAACAAATAGCAAAGTGTCAGAGTCTTATGTAACTTCTGCAAAGAAAAAGAAACAGTCACTCCAAGGTGCGCCTGACAACGGAGAAGATGTATTCACTGCAGCTAGGCAGCCCTCTGCCTGAGGATCACTGGTTTACTGCTGACATATTACCAGTGATACTGTGATGAGTAATTTGTGGTAATTTTTGCGTATGAACACACTCCTCCAAGACTGCCTTAAAGTGGACAGAATTTCCGACTCGGTTCTCCCTGCGCCCCACCTCCGTTCCACTGCTCTCATCTCCAGAGGTCGTGCCCTGGTCCTTTCCTTCAACAGCGAAGCCCCAAGCCTTCCCTGCAAGGCTCTTTTCTCCTATCTGCTGGCCCCTTTGCAACTGGCACCCTCATCTTAGACTCGCTCCCCGCGCCGCTAGCGAAACAATGCAGACCGTCCAGAGAGTGACCCCAACCCTCTGGCCCTTCCCGTGCTTCTTGCTCCTACCGCACATCCATGTGCTCATCTCATCCTCAGCTACCACATCTGCCCGTGTCTACAGAACTCTGCAGTCTCTGCTCCACCTCCCAGCCCCGGGTTCAAGGAAAGACCTTCCAATTACCACCTGCGGGGCGACTTGCCCGAGACTAGATTTCTTCATCTGTAAAATGGGACGAGTGACCCCGCAAAAGGTTGCTGTGCACAGCAACAGGCTTCGGAGAAAGTAAAACCGCGCTGGACTTCGGGGCTTAGTCCCACCGCTCTCCTCCTCCCGCAGCGCCCTCTCCACGCCGCGTGCCCCCCTCTGCCCCGGCCACGGCTCTCCCCGCCGCCCCGGCCGGCCTCCAGGCTAATAACCATCTTCCACCCTCAGCCCACAGGCCCCGCCTCCTCTCCTCAAACTCCAGCAATGCCCGCCCCGGCCCCAGGCGCTCTTACATCTTGAGCCGCACGTTGATGTCCAGGTCACAGCTGTAGATGTAGTGGAACTTCTCCGCCTCCCCCATCGCGCCTCCGCCGGAGCAGCACCGACCGCGGGAAGCGAGGCGCTGGAAAGACGCAGGGTTTGAACCAGCTGAGTCCCACAACACGGGCGCTTCCGGTCCCGCCTCTCGGCCGGGGCGGAGCCAATCGCTGCCTGGAGCGCGACCCAACGCGCCGGAACTCCCCGCCCAAGCTTCCCGTGTGCGCATGTGCAGAGCAGTCTTCCGTCTGGCTTAGAGGTAAATAGAATTCCGTCAACACAGCCGATCTGGTTGCTTCCCAGACTTTCAGTATTCTTCCTGTTTGGACAGAACTTTTCTTTTGTTGTTGTTGTTGTTTATCTGTTTTTAAATAAAAAAATTTGTCATTTGAGCTTGAACTGTTCCTAAAATCAATCCGAAGGAAAATGCTTTTCAAAATAATTGTAGCAACTTTCACTGGCTACAGGCTAAACCAGGAAGTCACAAGACTTAGAATTTTGCCAAGTTTAAATTTCAGTGATCTTCCCAAAATTTGTAGATTTAATAAAAAATTTGCTTTCGCAAGTAACGATTTTCTCTTTCTGCTCTAAAGAGTGAAGAAAGAACTAGACAAAGAGCAAAACAAACTTATTTCCAGTTTTGGCATTTATGCTACTTGGGACAAGGCAGTTGGGTGCTTGTTTGCATGGGGTATATTCAGACCCACTGTAGCTTTGAAGACTGAACTCTAGTTGAAATCCATAAACGTCCAGTAATGACTCCAGAACTCAGGTTACTAACCCTCTGAACTACTTGCTTGTCTTTATAATATTTAATATTATCTAAAATTTTAATCTTCATTTCCAACTAGATTCAAACTCTTTGAAGGCAAGAATAGTGTGTCAATATACTTCTACACCTGCCCCTTTAGTGCCTAACACATTAATGAGTTTAATAATTCCTTGTTATTATTATTGGTGAAAAGAATAAAAGTCTCAATTTTCTGTGTGTTTATTTGTAGTGCCTTTCAGGGCAAAAAAAAAAAGGCTAATGTACAATTTTTTGTCCAAAGTAAGTTCTCAAAAATATCTGTGGAAGCAAGATTAAGGAAAAACACGATAGCTATTCTCCTATAACTAAAAGGTGCAACAGAAAGAGAGCAGACTTAATTTGTTCTTAAGTATAACTACCACCAATGGTTGGAACTTACAAAAAAAATGTAATTACAGCAATTAATAAAAATTGAACTTTTGAATCATCAGAGCTGTCCAACAGTAAAACAAATAGTTACAAGTGCCCTGTCTATGGATAATTCCAGCAGTGGGTGTGAAGTTTGATGTCAGGTTTCTCAAACGTGAATAAAACATTGACAATTTGTAAAGAACTCAATTCTCTGCTCCCAATACTGACAAATTACTTTTATTATAGTGTTATTTAATGTCTAAACCTAAATGAAACTTCATAGATAAACATACACATATATTTCTTATGAATTATTTTAAAACCAAATTTAAAAAATACAAAAACTTGAAATTAACAACCTTAAAGTAACACTATCTTTTTGTTAAAATTACTGCATACAACATGAATATGGTATTGACTACTCTTACAATACCAGCTCTTTGAAATGCTGCCGGTCTATTTTACTACATACCACATGGCAGTTTAATTTTCTTGCCTCATTTTCTATTCAAATTACTATGAAATCTTCATGTGTAAGTACTATAATGGCATTTGGCCTTTACTTGGCCCCCAAAACATTTTTTGTCCTAAGTCTATCTCTGTCCTTTTTTCATTAGCTCATAACAGTTAAAGTAAAGTAATTGACACCAACAGTCATGTCTCAAACACAACACAAATAAAAGTATAAAAATGAAATGTCAGTACTTAGTTCTAAGATACTCATTCATAGAATCCAGCATAAACTTATATTAACTTTTAAAAGATAATTATGGAGAAAAACTAAAGTGGTCACAGAAATCAAAACTGGCAGTGCATTTTCTGGACCAACCCTGGCTCAGGAAAACTTTGGTTATTAGATCTGAATATCAGAGTACTCTTAGCAAGGCCATGTCCATAAGGGAAATGGAAGCCTTAGGCACTTCATTATGAAAGGAAAAGCATGATATTTCCTTTCCCAGGTGATCTTTCACAACTCATAAATATAGCATATACTTATACAACACAACACTTTTAGAATCCATAGCACAGACCACTGCCTGTCTTTAGAAAAAAGCAAACAAAAAAAACCCAACCTTTTATACATGGATGTTTCTTTTGTGTAGCAGGCTACTTCATTGACTATTTGGTTCCATATTTAATTCACCTTTGAAGTTGCCATTTTGATTTTGTTTTCTTATGCAATCTTGTTTCAATTTTATGTTTAATTATTCAACTAACAGATTTTAATAATGGTTAAGAATTTTTTTTATAATGGTCCATTCCTTTAAGTGACCCAGGACTCATGTAGTGATAAACAAGTTTGTTTTTGTCAATTTCTGTCACCCAATTAATCCTCTTTAGCTGGTAATAAAAATTGCACTCTTAGCTTTAAAAAGCTGCCATCTATTATTGATCTTTCATCAAGAAAAAAATAAATGTGATATTGTGAAATTGAAATGATCTCATAAAATTGTTGCTCCAATTTAAAAATTGCCTCTAGGAGTTTTCTAATAACTCCAGGTCATTTAGAATCTATTAACGTGGTAGAACAAATAACAGTGAAGAAACTTGAAAAATCCTTATCTCATAAGCCAAGACTCTTAGCCATTTGTCAAGTGACAATGTGGAAAACAATATACTTGAGAATGTCTGCTAGTGATCCTGGAGCAGGAACTCACAGGGCCTGGGTGGTTCCATTAAAAAAATGCAACTTCAGTCATCTACAAAAGGGAAAGATCAAAAGCAAACAGCTTTTCTGATACCTTAGAACACATCTTGCTAACGGATGTACAAAATAAGTCAAGATAAAGTACAGCCCCATATAGACTCAGTTCAAAATGATGGTGGCTTGATGCTAAGATGCTGAGTATAGTTCCCAGGGAAGGGGGTAGGGAGGTGTGCAGTCTCCTTATTCCAGGTGTGGCTGCCTCTCTAATAGCTCTCTGCAAAACAAACAAGGAATGCTATTTTCTCTTTTTCCTGAAAAGCAAAATTCCTCTTTGGATTTCTTTTGGTTAGTGAATACGGGTACTAATGCAGGTCTTAAGTAAAAGTGAATTGGTGCAACTTGAACTTTTGAAAAGTGGGGGATACCCATATTATGATAGAAACTCTTGAGAACACTGAAGGAAGAACAAAATGAGGGATAGGTTTTTGAATGAGCTGATTTAACTAGTGTTGGGGAGGAAGGTGAGGTGCGAGGAGACTTCTCTGAGAATGTGATGTTAGCCTTGCAATGCTGAGATGTCAAAGAAGTTTCTTTGCAGGGGTCGGGGAGAAACACTGGAACTCTCTCAGGGTCCAGTGCAGTTTTGTAATTCACAGAGTTCATGGGGCTAAGAGGGTTTTCTTTGTGTGTGTGTGTGTGTGTGTGTGTGTGTGTGTGTGTGTGTGTTTTAATTAAACATTTCGATTGAAGACAACATAAATAATAATCAGACATTTCTCACACAGGTTTTTTGGTTTTTTTTTGGCTCTCCATTCCAAGGTCTGAGCACTACATACCTGTCACTCCCATATTGAGTGAGGAGGGTGAGGAAGCACAGAGAGCTCAACCCACCAGCATGTTCCTGATAACACATTGGTCAATTTCAGGTATATTATTTTATTTAATTATCTCAATAAATTAGTGGATTAGGTACTGTTCCCCTATTTTACCAAGAAGTAACTATAAAGTGGGTTAGGTGATTTGTATATGATTCTGAATAAATACAGGGCAGAGCCACTGACTTCATAAGCATGATATACTTACCATGATATGTTCCAGAGAAATTCTTGGATTTACTTTTTGCAACAGAAGATAAATTCTAATGGCAGTATCTTTAGCATCCTCTGTGTTATTTAGCACTGCTATTGATCCCTCTTCCTTTCTACAGATTAACTATGTGGATGGAGGAGATTTTGGCCCATTCGGCATCTTTGCAAGTCATCCGTTTATTTAACAACTAGGTTCCTAGTGCACAAATTCATGCACCTTGAAAGGAACTGTAGGCCACGAGGCTGCAGTGGGCACAGGCGTGGGTCTTGGCCCATTCTCTGCCCCCCCTCCTGGTCCCTCCTCCTGAGTCCCAGGACCCCTCTCTGCTGGCAGCCCTGCTCCCACTGCCACCTCCAACAGGCTGACAGCGCCGGTCCTGCACACACCCGCTGACAGCGCCAAGTGATCAGGACCAGCACTGGGCGCCAGCAGTGAGTGTGAACAGTGGCTCTGGCGCTGGCTGCGGGTGCGAGCACCGGGCGGGACCCCGGCACGCGGGAGCAAAGAATTTTCAGTAACCACCAGAGGCTCACCCCAATGACAGCGACCGGTGCCCTGCCTTGCTCTGGCGCCCCCACTCACCTGCTCCACCATCCTGCTGTGGCTGATGCCCGCCATGTTTTGTGCATGCCCCGCCATGTCATAGCGACCTGTTGTTCAGTTGTTCAGTAGTTCCAGTTGTTCTGCTGTTCAGTCTATTTGCATATTAGTCTTTTATTATATAGGATATTTAGTGAGTGCTTAAACTATGCCATGAACTACACCAAGCATTGTTATAGACATTGGCTTCTACAATTTCATCAGGGAGATGATGGGAACACCATCTGCATATGGTACCATCCCAGCATCCCTCAGTGTGTGTTTTCTATGCCATCATGCAATCTGTCCTGTAATAACATAGGCCCAAAGAGCTGTACTTCATTTATTCTATAATATTGGGGAATGATAATGACACCAAACCTGCTGCTCAAAAGCCAATAATCAAGAGACAGGGTCTGATGGAAGGAAAGCAGGTTTATTCAAGAACCAGCAGCTTCATAAAATAGGGGAATGTTGTCTCAAAGACAATCTTAACATCTCAGTGCAGACGGGGTTTTTTTTTTTGTTTTTTCGGTTTTTTTTTTACATGTTGCACCAAATTTTAATTCAAAGGACACTGGAAATTAAGAAAGAGGTCCACCCCAGTCTTTATCATCTAGTGCAGTTACTTTTCTTCTTGTGTATACTCTGCAG